GGTCAGTATGGCGGCAGAAACATGCAGGCAGACACAGGAATATTGAGCACAAACAACTGGCTAAATCATGTCCCGCTGCCATCTCCAAGGAGGTTGGGGAGTCATGTCCCTTAACTTTGAGAAGGTAGTCTACATGCATGTAAGAGATCAGAAATGAGGGAAGAATGGGAAATTGGCTTACAATCTGCAGCGCAAAAACCTCACTTTGCCCAAATCCATCCGAAATCATAACTCATACCTTGTCCCTATCGACTGTCTGTTTAAATTATTATAGGTTTGTCACGGAATAATGTACAGGTTGAACAAGAGTGACTAACTCAGCTGCCTGTGCAGATTGGTATGGGAGGGAGCATAGGCATGTCTAGCCCCTTATTAGGAGTGCTCAAGCAACCCTAAATTAAGTCCCAGCACCCCTAAAAATAAGAGTAAAAAGTCTTTTTTTGTCTCTGATAAGCAAATATTATGATCCACTATCTCTCTCCTACTCTTCCCCCACCCCGCTCTCCCGAAGCCGTGTAGTAGCTGCGCTGAGCACGCATGTGCACACACACGTGTGCGTATGCACTAGAGCCAGTTACAGTGTGACCATGTGTTGTGGTCTTACGTAGTACTTTAAACAATGTAGTACTATATACAAATATATAATGCTGTCGTTTATGAATATGCCATGAATGCTTCATGTACATGTGGTTTCAATAAAGCACTACCAGTTAGTGGTAATAGTTAGTGTTGTAGTCAAGATCACTAGAGGCAAGTCCGAGTTAAATCCTAGATCTGGACCTGGGCACATCAGGTCTGAGTCAAGAACAAGACTTTAGTACTCAAGGCTGAATCAAGATCAAGACTTTGAAGACTGAAACTTTGGAGTAGTTGAATCTAAGTCAAGGTAAAGGCAAGGCAAATTTATTTATATAGCATCTTTCATAAACTGTGGTCATTCATATTGCTTCACAAATGATGAAATACAAATATAATTCAAATTATAACTAAAAGAGAACAATCATGAACATAAAAAAGAAATAATAATAAAGTGCTTTTACATAAAAGAGGTGCTGTAGAGCTAACAGTGTTTTAAACTGGGCTGAAAGCTAATCATATAGAAATGTTTTCAGGTAAATACACTGCTCCTGCACCACTAAGACATTTATAGACCAGTAAAGTCTATGCTGTAACAGACTGGTAGCCAGAGTAAGGATTTGAAAATGGGGGGGGTATGTTCCCTTCTTTTACTCCTAATGATGCTAGCAGCTGCATTTTGTATCAGCTGAAGCTGTTTGATGGTGTTTTTTGGGAGTCCAGTTAGGAGACTATTACAGTGATCAATCCTGCTAGAAATAAAGGCATGGATGAGTTTCTCCAGGTTTGCTTTAGTCATAAAACCTCTGATCTTGTTGACATTCTTAAGATGATAAAATGCGGATTTAGTAATGGCTTTGACATGACTGTTAAAGCTAAGATCAGAGTCCATCGGTATGCCAAGGTTACTCGCTAGTTCTTTAGCTCAAGGCATGTACAGAGTGAATCAAGGGGACTATAGTAGATATCCCATAGTCTTGTATTTGGCCAAGAGGAAGCATTAATAAATTAAATAAGAGCAGCCCAAGAATTGAACCCTGGGGGACACCACCAGTCACTGGCACTCTCTCAGAAGCACTTTTCTATTTTCACAAAGTAGTCCCTTCCTTGCATGTATGAACTGAACCATTTTAGGGACTCACCCAGTTCTTTCCATAATACAATTGACCATAAAATTCTTATTAAAGGCAGCACTGAGATCAAGCAGTAGTAAAACAGATATATTTCCAGAGTCTGTATTTAAGCGAATGTCAATAATAACCTTAATTAGAGCCGTTTCAGTACTATGATTAGGCTGAAATCCTGACTGAAATTTGTCTAGACAGCTATTAAAGGACAGAAAGCTGCTTGAAGACTATTTTTTTAATATTTTTTTCCAATGAAAGGTAGATCTTAAATTGGTCTGTAATTACTCAGTAGAGTTGCTTCTAGGTTTTTCTTTTTTTAAGAAAGGCTTCACAACTGCAGTTTTTAATGTGTTGGGAAAAATGCCCGATATAAGTGAGGTGTTTACTACATATCTGAAGTATATTAATTGCTATTGAGTGAAACATTCCTTAAAAAGATGGTTGGTAACATGTCAAGATAAAAGGTGGATGATTTGAGATGACTCATTGTATTGATGTGGTGCCAGCACACAGGATGAAACAATTAGTTTGCTATAAAAATAATGTTAAATGCATAACAAAGAAACTGTATATCACACTTTATTGAATGAGCCTTGGCATGCATCACAGACAGGAACAGATTCATTTGCAGTAAAGAATCCAGTTCAGGCATGGAGACTGTCAAGGGTCAATAATTGTAAATCTGTGAAACAGAAATGCATGTTTGTGGCTGCATGAAGCTCTTTCTGCAGAAGCAAGGGATGAGCAAATGATGCCATGAAAATATGGTTCAGTGGCAGACACAACATTTCAGCAGGGTTTACATGTAATGTCAGCATCTGGGGATCCAAAAAAGACAAATAGCACTAGCTGTTCCCAGTGTGTGGAACCTGACCAATTTGCAATGTACATATGCCACATAACTTTCTTACAGGGGTACATGTACAGCTGGCATACAAAAAGCCACACTTTAAAAGAAGCCCTGTGAGGGGGACTATTTTAAAAGAAACAAAGAATCAGTTTAGGTACAATATCATTTTACACTGATTACTGGGTCTAGCAGGGGTAGATTTGGCTGAATTGGACATTGAGGGAGGGCTGAGTGATGTTACTCATCAAAACCTTATGGCTTTAGAACTTGAGAATTAAAATAGCACACATTTCTTTTAACAGTATAAACCAGCACAAATGCAGGACAAACGAATGAGACTATTTTTTGTGCAATTTAGACGTTGATGGTTGAGGTTGATGTCATCACAGATAATAAAATATGTTTCATTTCTCAAAAAACAGTGCCAGGACAAACTCACATATGCAGCATAAATGAATAGTATTATTTGAATTCTGTTTCTGACTAAATGGGGGGCCAGCTCCCTGGAGGTCTAAATGATACTTGTTGTTTCTCATCTGATGCGACACAAGGGCATCATGAGGCCAAAACAGTTGCTTTTTGTGTTGCGTTTTCACTTAATACCAAATGTTTGTAATGTCCGTTTATCACTTAAATAAACTTTATGTAGATGACATAAAGAGAGCTACAATAAAACCTGACTTGCTGCCTTGACTTAACTATTTCTGAGAACTTGTCAAAAAGTTAAAAATACATTTGTTGATTTGCTTATCTGCCTAGATTGCATACATAAAGCATAAACAGTGCATTTCTTTACTGTTTGCCTAAAAGCTGCAGGATGCTGTGTGACAAAGCCTTGCTTGCATGCTTGTGCTCACATTAAAGCAACTAATGATATGGCAGCAATCTACCAGTCACCCCGAGAGTAGCAGCCAAGAAAAGAAACTTTCCCATTGGTAAATCATGGGTGTGAAGGCATTTTGGTTTAAGAAAAAATAAGGGCCTTTGCAAAGAATGTAACATTTTTTGTACATTGCATACACATCCACTCTTCTGGTATGCAGTCTCTGCAATGAAGGACTGCAGTTGATAAGCAGTGGCTGCAATTTACATTTACATTTACATTTATGACATTTGGCAGACGCTCTTATCCATAGCAACTTACAATTGGATCATTTTACACAGGTAGGTGAAGGTAGTGTTAGGAGTCTTGCCCAAGGACTCTTATTGGTGTAGTGTAAGGTGCTTACCAGGTGAGGATTGAACCCCAGTCTATAGCATAGAAGGCATAGGTGTTTCCCACTACACTACACCAACCAGTTTCTTTCTGGAATCACTGTGGCGAGCAGCCAGTGTCCAGTGGTATGGCCTTGCTTTTTGCAGCCTGGTGTAAGTTCCATGAAGAGGATGTTGATGGGCTTTCTGTTGAATGGTAGACATGAATCAAGGTCAAAATATCCTGAGGTTTTAGCAGCTGGCTGACTTAAAGAAGGATATAATCAAACATAGAATTAACAAAAGTCTCTTTTGTGATTCTACAGCACTACAGCAATGACTGGGCTACAGTGAAATAAATAAAACTGTTATATGACACTAATACAAGTGGAGCAAAATAAAAATAAGTTGCTTTTAAACTCTTTATTAACTTGCTTAATCACTACATTATAGTGTCTTCTTACCAAACAGCCACTGAAATTTTGATTTTGACAATATATGTACCCCCTCAGTCATCTCAAAAGAATTCAGGTTCTTAGTGGCAGCTACTGTTGTCTTGAAAAAAATGTCCAGACAATCAAAAATGAATATAAACAAGTATGAGTATTGCATACTAGTCTCTGTGGGCACATGAGCCAAAACAACTTGGTGGTTAGTGTTCAGTGCAGTGTGGTGTGTGTGCTGCTTGCTGAACAGAACTTCTACTGATTTTGTCATTTGTTCTGAGACCTCCTTTTGGCTTCGACTGGTCCACATGGTATCACAGGGTGGCCTGACTGTGGATATACAGAAAAGTAACTTGATTAGTCAAGTAGTTTTCCAATGAACTACTTAGTTATTCATACTTAAGTCATTTCTTTTATTAATACCTTTACTTACATACAGGTAAATTATCACCAGAGTATCAGTACAGTAAAAGTACTCTTACTTTAGGAATTTTGCTACTCTTTCCACCCCTGATTTTAGGTAGTAGTGTTTCTTCTAAAAATAAGCTAAGTTGGATATTGTTCATTATTATTATAGTTATTAAGAGAAATATAGATATTATTCAAGGTCTGATTTAAATAGTCACATTTGATTGTTTGTCATGTATGTAAATATAATGTGCAAAAACAGTAGAAGTAAATTTTAGGTTTGTATTTTTGTTGCTGGAAGTTCTTCTCCTGAACAAACACCAGATGGCACACTTAAGCCATTTCAGTGGTCAGCAACACTGAGGAAACGTCTAGCACATTCACTTCCTCATTACAAAAGGACGGGTAAAAAATCAGTAGCAACATCTCAGTGTTCAGGTAAGCTCTCATTTCATATTATATTGCTTTAACATCATTTTCTGACATCTGTTATCTATGATATGTAAGTAGTATCATGACCTTGAGCTCTGAAGCACAATGATATAAAAACAGCAACAGTCATAGTGACTTCTTTGACTTTGTTCTGTGTTTGTATTTCTGTCCTATTTGCTTAGTTTCATTTTTACTTCATGTCAATATTTACTGAAAAATAAACAATGACTCACCGGAGGTCTTTTTTCTGATTTTGGTAGGACGGTAACCTTAATCTACATTTCAAGTGGATTCAAAAAGTAGACATTTCTCAAGTCTTCCTTTGGAAACATGTAGAAATGTAGAATGATCTCTGGTTGCATAACCAACATATGACAATGTTAAATACTAATGTAATGGGAAAAACTCACTTATGCAGTTGTTAGGCACTGCTAACCACTGCTTATAAACCAGTTTATTTGCATGGAGATAAAGTAGCTGTACAAGAGTATGGCCAGTGGGAGTGCAACAGGCCAGTGTAAAAAGTTTGAAATCAGATTCTAGTTCTGGACAGAGAAGTACAGAGTTGCTGAAAATTGTTATCAGACACAAGTATTGTTACTGTGGCCAGGGCTGGATCATCCCAAGGGTCCAAGCTACAAGGTAGCACCAGTGAGAAATTCTGAACTGAATTCTGAGCTGAAGGTTCTGTGACTGTATTTTGAACTTGTCATTCTGATTTTTTTTAAACATTGCTGCATCATATTCAGCAGTTGTGATCTGTGAACTGCCATGCATAAAGTCATCAAAGGCAAGACATAAATGGTGCATAAACAATTTCATGCCTGCCATGGCAGCATGCTTTAGTTTCAGGTCAGTTTCAGTTTTCATGTTTTTCCTCACATTTCCTGCTACATGTCAACTGACCATTTCCTCATATGGAAAACAAACTGCCTGACAACTTGCTTTCCTTTTATGCAACCATGGCAGGTCAGCATTGTCAATTCTAAATGAAACAGAAAGAGAATAATAACAGTACTAGCTTAATAATAACTGTACTAATAGTAACATTATTTATATAGAATCGTTCATGCATAGAAATGCAGTACAAAGTGCTTCACAATGGATAAAAATCATGTAAGTAAAACAGCAAATTTGCAAAATAAAAGCAATTACAAGAAATTGTTGTTTAATAAAACTACTCATAATAAATAAATAAATAGAAATGTTAACAATTAAGCATTAGAAATGTGTGAAAAGATGTTTGCTGTTCACCTGATTTCTTCTATTTTTGATAATCTGTTATATTTACATGTTTCAAACCATTCAACTAATTTTGATATAAGATAAAGACAACACAAGTAAACATAAAATGCAGCTTTTAAATGATCATTCTATTTATTGAAGATAAAGATTTATTGAAAACCTATATCACCCATGTGAAAAATCTATTGCCCCCCTAAACCTAATAACTGTTTGTGTCACCCTTGGCAGTAGCAACTGCAATCAGACATTTGCGATAACTTACAAGTCCTTTACATCACTGTGGAGGAATTCTTTTTAGAATTGTTTTAGTTCAGCTACACTGGAGGGTTTTCAAGCATGAACTGCCTGTTTAAGGTCTTGATACAGCATCACAATGGGATTTAAGTCAGAACTTTGACTCGGCCACTTCAGAACCTTAATTTTGTTTCTTCTGAGTCATTCAGAGCTGGATTTGCTTGTGTGCTTTAGAACATTGTCCTGCTGCATAACTTAACTGTGCTTGAGCTTTAGGTCACAAACTGATGAGCAGAAATTCTACTTCAGGATTTTTTTTATAGAGAGCAGAATTCATGGTTCCATTAATTAGAGCAAGTCATCCAGCCCTGCAGAAGCAAAGCAGCCCCAGACCATCGCACTACCACCACCATATTTGACTACTGGTATGATGTTCTTATGGTGGAATGTGGCGTTTACACCAGATGTAATGGGACCTATGTATTCCAAAAAGTTCTACCTTTGACTCGTCAGGCCACAGAATATTATCGCAAAAATCTTGGGGGTTATCTAGATGTTTTAGGCAGATGTGAGATGAGTCTTTGTGTTCTTTTTGGCCAGCAGTGGTTTGCACTTTGCAGCTCTCTCATCAATGCCATTTTTGCCATTCTTTCTTATTGTGGAATCAAATACACTGACCTTAACTGAGGCAAGAGAGGCCTGCAGTTCTTTAGATATTGGTCTGGGTTCTTTTGTGACCCCCTGCAGTAGTCATTAATGCACTGTTGGTGACATTTTGGTAGGTATGCTACTCCTGGGAAGGTTCACCACTGTTCCAAGTTTTTGTTCTCACTGTGGTTTGCTGGAGTCCCAGAGTCTTAGCAATGGCTTTGTAACCAATTTCAGACTGGTCGATTTCAATAACTCAGTTTTGCATCTTTATTTGAATCTCTTTAGAACTTGGTATCATGTGGTGCGTCTTGCTTCTAGCTGCATCACATTGCCACACACGTTCTATTTAAGTGATGTTTGAATTCAACGAGTCTGGCAGTTATAATGTCTGGGTGTGGCTAGTGAAATTGGGCACAATAGTCAATTGAATTTGGTTTACTCGTTGATTTAGTAGATGAGGGGGGATTACTTTTTTACATAAGGACAGGTTGGGCCTTTTTCCTTCAGTAAAATAGCATGTTGTGTTTAGTTGGGTTTTCTTTGTCTAATATTAAAAGTAGTTTGATTATCTGAAACTTACAAGTTCGACAATTATGCAAAAAAAGCAACAATTTGGAAAGACAAATACTTTTTCACAGCTCAGTGTTTTCTTTTTTATATGTGTTTTGGTCGTTTCTTTGTTTTTCCAACCTGTTTATGTACATCTTATTACCTAGGGTTTTTGTGTTTCATGTTTCATAGATTCTCATGCCTTCCATCTGCCTACCTGTCACTTTGACATAAAATAAACAAAAAATGAGAAGAAAAAATACGAATAATAGAATAAGTGAAAACTAAGCTAAGCTAAATTAAAAAGCAACTGATTCGTTGGAACATTCAATAAAGTAGCACTGGATGAACATTTGTAAAAAAAAAATTACAGGCATTCAGAAATATATGTAGGTAACTAAACCAGTAAGAGACTTACAAACCTGTTATAGATTTGGAGCTATAACAGCTTCAACTCTTCTTCAACTCCCCTCCACCAAACTTTACACTTAGCATCATTCTCCTGGCAACCGCCAAACCCAGACTCATCCATCGGGTTGCCAGACGGAGAAGCGTGATTTGTTACTCCAGAGAACACATCTCCACTGCTCTAGAGTCCAGTGGCGGCGATTTATGCCACTGCATTCGACACTTTGCATTGCGCTTGGTGATGTAAGGCTTGGATGCAGCTGCTCGGCCATGGAAACCCATTCCATGAAGCTCTCTATGCTGTTCTTGAGCTAATCTGAAGGCCACATGAAGTTTGGAGGTCTGTAGCAATTGACTCTGCAGAAAGTTGGCGACCTCTGCACACTATGCGCCTCAGCATCTGCTGACCCCGCTTTGTCATTTTACGTGGCTGACCACTTCATGGCTGAGTTGCTGTCGTTCCCAATTGCTTCTACTTTGTTATAATTCCACTGACAGTTGACTGTGGAATATTTAGTAGTGAGAAAATTTCACGACTGGACTGGACTGGACAGGTGGCAACCTATCATGGTACCATGCTGGAATTCACTCTTACACAAATGATTGTAGAAGCAGTCTGCATGCCTAGGTGCTTGGTTTTATACACCTCTGGCCATGGAAGTTATTGGAACACCTGAAATTAATGATTTGGATGGGTGACTGAATACTTTTGGAAATATTGTTAATGGTGTTAATATATATAATATGTATATTAAACATAAGGATGCCACCTGTGCAACAAGTCCAGTCGTAAAAGTGAGGAATCACACTTCTCCATCTGACAATCCGATGGAGAATGGTGCCAAGTGTAAAGTTTGGTGGAGGGGGGGATTATGGTGTGGGGATGTTTTTCAGGAGTTGGGCTCAGCCCCTTAATCTTTTGTCCGAAGGATTTTGGACAATTTCATGCTCCCAACTTTGTGGGAACAGTTTGTGGATGGCCTCTTCCTGTTCCAACATGACTGCACACCAGTGCACAAAGCAAGGTCCATAAAGACATGGTTGAGCAAGTTTGGTCTGGAAAAACTGACTGGCCTGCACAGAGTCCTGACCTCAACCTGACAGAACACCTTTGGGATGAATTAGAGCGGAGACTGCAGGCCTGGCCTTCTCATCCAACACCAGTGTCTCACCTCACAAATGCACTTCTGGAAGAATGGTCAAAAATTCCCATAAACACACTCCTAAACCTTGTGGAAAGTCTTCCCAGAAGAATTGAAGCTGTTATAGCTGCAAAGGGTGGGCCGACATCATATTAAACCCTATGGATTATAAATGAGATGTCACTCAAGTTCATATGCGTGTGAAGGCAGACGAGTGAATACTTTTGGCAATATAGTGTGTATATATATATATATATATATTTAGGCATATATATATATATATATATATATATATATATATATATATATATATATATATATATTAGCACTTGGATGGTTTGGCTCTACAGAAATATATAATTATGTATCATTGGCATAGCTGTGATAACTGACTTCATGCTTTTAAACTAATGGAAGAAAAATAAAAAAAAGAAGTGGATCTAATACAGACCCTACGGAACACCATGTATGTATAAAACTACTTTTACACAGTTCTAGAAAGGCCTACCCAATTTTTGAGGCAATTCGTAAAGATACCAGGATCATTTATTATCTTTAGCAATGCTGTTTCAATACTACGACCTAATCTGAAACCTGACTGGAATTTTTTGAAAATATAATTTGCATTTATGAGCTGCTTTATTCATGCAAGAAATAACTTTTCCTAGTATTTTACTTAAAAATGGTTTGTTTGGTTAAATCAGATGACTGTAGATTGAGTTTCTTTAACAGAGCCTAACCATGGCAAACTTTGAGAAGATCTAAGTTTCCAAGGAAATTTTTGTTTATAACATTAAAAATAAGGATAGCTCAATTTTGTTTAATAAATTAAGTTGGAATTGGATCTAAATACACATGGAAGAACTTCTGAAAAATCTGAGGAGCTCTTTCTAAAATCATGCATTGTGGCTTGTAGTTAAAAAAATGTCATAATTTCAGGTCTTGAGTTCCTCAGGAATATTAGTGATTTTATCGTTAAAAATAGGGTAAAAGATTCACATTTTGACATAGATGCTTAAGATAACCACTCATTCACTGTAGTGGGATGTAAAAGGCAGTCAACAATCAAAAATAAAAGTTTTGCATTGTTGCTGTTTTCATTTATTATATTTGATAAGTGTAATTGCCTACTTTTTCACATTACATTATTAGACGTGGCAATACAACTTTTTAGAACGTCATAGTGTATGTTTAATTTAATTTTCCTCCAATCCCTTTCAGCCTTATGGCAGCTCATTTTGATTTGCTGCACCCTCTGTTTTCCTGTGTGTAAGCAGAGACATCCTTTTCAACAACATTGTGATTTGATCTCATCTTTGAGTTGCATAGTGGTGCAACCATTTCATGCACCACTATGTGTTTAGGAAAAAGAGGTCTATTGATGAAAGCATTAATGAAATCATCCAAGGTTGATGCAATAAAGTACCATTTTTTTAGTATTCAAATTTCTAGCTTTTGTTTATTTGTATTTATTAATGTTGTTAAAAACATACAGTTGTGATCTGACACTGCAATGTCTGTAATTTCATCTGCAACCCTGTTTCCAAAAAAGTTGGGACATTGTGGAAAATATATATAAAACAGAATGCAATGATGTGCAAATCATTTAAACCCTATATTTAACTGACAATAGTACAAAGACAACAAATCAAACATTGGAACTAAGAAACTGTTGTATTTTGAAAAATATATGGCCATTTTGAATGTGAATAATTTTAATTAAATGTAGGGTTTGAATGATTTGCACATCTATTAAATGATTTACATATTCTGTTTTTATTTACATTTTGTGCAGCATCCCAACTTTTTCAGAAATAAGGTTGTATGTTTAATCACAAACTGCAGGAAATAACTAAATGCAATTTATGTGCTCAGTTATGGGCGGGGTTTGTAACATGCTGGTTAAAACAGTGTTTTTAAAAGCTGTATAAAATCCATGGCTTTTCTGCCTGAGGCATTATCCATATTATCCATGTTACTTATGATTTTTATCATAAGTAACATGGATAATAGTACAGAGAATTCAGGCAAGAAGGAGGGTGTGTGCTTTGGTGGACTTACTGACTCTTGCCCTTGTGATAGTAATGTTTGGAAGAGACCAAAGGATACATTTTTGTAGTTAAATGAGTTATTAAAAACAGCTGATAGTCCATCCCCTTTCTTATCTTTTCATATAGTATAAGTGAAGTTGTAGTTCTGTGGTGCAGTTTCAATAAGAGAGGCAGCTCCACTCGAGTCAAGCTACATTTCAGTCATAAACTTGAAATCTAATTTTCACTCACATATAAAATCATATATATTTGTAAAAAATCTAGGCATTGTTAGAACCACATTCTTTCACTTGCATGACATCACTAAACTACGTAATATTTGCTGACAGCTCCTAGAATTAGAGAAACCACAGCAGGTGGTCAAGCTTTTTCCAACGTAGCTCCAAAATTGTAGAATCATCTCCCAACCTCTGTTCTCAGGGACTCAGACATACTCTCCACATTTAAAACTAGACTTAAAACTTTTCTCTCTTCTCTTATCTCTCCATAAATGGACCTATTCTGTTAATCAATTTCTCTCTCTCTCTCTCTCTCTCTCTCTCTCTCTCTGTCTCTATCTCTCTCTCTTTCACTCTGTCTCTCTCTCGCTGTTTCACTCTCTCTTGCCACATGGGAGCCATGAGAGTTGTTAGAGTCACCAGAGTCTCCATCTCTGTTGGCTGATCTGCAACGTTTTGACCACCATGGAGTTTCATGTTACCAGTGGCGACAGTGGCAAGGAAAAACTCCCTAAGAGCAGGAGGAAGAAACCTTGAGAGGAACCGAGACTCAAAAGTGGAACCCATCCTCCTGTGGTCGACACCTGATAGCAAACAGCATTAGTATAAAGTATTATAGTACAAAACGGGGAAAAACAGGTGGAGCAATGGTTAATTAGCATCACCATTGGCGACGCTCATGGGAGCTTGGACTGGATTTTTCTGTAAAGCTGCTTTGTGACAATACCTGTTAGAAAAAGCGCTGTATAAGTAAACTTTGACTTGACTTGTTATACAAGAAAAAACTAATTGTTCAGAGCTCTAACATATAAAGGGCCATCCTGATAGATTCTTTAGGGTTTTCTGTTCTCAAACACTTAGATTCAACATTAGTTTTAATCAGGTTGGACATTGTTTGACCTTTAATGTTATTAAGAGGTTTTGTGCTGCACCAGTTTATTACTAGTAGAATAGGCATAGGAGGAGTAGGAGGAGGGGAGTAACATTCTACTTTGGTTGTATTTTAATTACCCCCCTCTATTTGAGTTATACTTGGTTTGCAACCATAGCAAAGTTTTCTGATAAAATAAGTGATCTACTTTGATTCCAATGCAAACTCTTTGTACTATAAAATTAGATTCTTTCCCAAAATCATCCCAATTGTCAAAAAAAGCCCTATGTTGTTATCGTTGCAAATCTTTTAACCAACAGTTCAGCGCAAACATTCTGCTAAAAACTTACATCCTCTTCTGAAAACATTTTTGCTTTTTTTGTCCTTCCTATGTCGTGTAGTAGTCTAGAAAAATGCTCCTTCAGCAGTAGATACTGTATGTTATTTACTCCTGTGTGTACAACAACCATTATAATGTTTTTGTTTTACTACTTAACTTTTACGGCATTTGGCAGACTCTCTTATCCAGAGCGACTTACAAAGTGAACATTTTACACAGTTAGGTGAAGGTAGTGTTGGGAGTCTTGCCCGAGGACTCTTATTGGTATAATGTAGAGTGGTTACCCAGGCAGGGATTGAACCCTAGTCTACAGCATAGAAGGCAAAGGTGTTACTGACTACACTATACCAACCACTAAAACAGCAGACAATTTTCTGGATATTTGTAAAACGTGAGGGCCTGGAAAAAAAAAGAGATAAAAGCCTTATCTTAATTCTGCACTCTTCCCAAATTCATGCAGGTGAGGTGATGGCAGAGCAATATATTCCTTCAGTATATTCTGATGTTTATTTTGTTGAGGATATTTCTGTATGACATCAACTGGAATCTGTGTGATGGGTCTCATTGCTTCCCTGGTTATAAACACAGTCTTTGAGCCATCACTCTCAGTTTATGACATAAGGCTGAAATTAGCTTCTTTTTAGAATTTTTCTGTTTCACATTTAATGGTGTTGCTGTAATATTCAAGCACATTTAGGCACCTAAAAAGCCCTTAAAAATTAAAAATAGAAGCTGGCAAATATGACGCAAATAATTCAGCCTCATTTTGTCAACCAGATTGATAAGCCAGAGAACATTGCCACACATTTGATTTAACACTTTCTCATGGGGTCATGTATAAAGACAGTAAGCACGTGAAACTGCTAATATAAGAATGGCTATAAACTCTTCAGCTGCCATGTTTTATGCTTCAACTGCCAAGTCGTTTTTGCTAAGCATGCCTTTGGTCCATACTGACTGAATGATTGATACATTGGGAAGTCTACGAAAATGAAAATACAATCAAGTCAAATGAATTTTCAAAATCATTTTGCCACAGAATACACAGAAACAGGAGATGCTGTTTTGCTTTTAATATTTGAAATGTACTATCTTTGTAGCTTGTTCTCTTAGATAACATGTTAATTATCATTTTAATAATTCCATAATCACATGAAGCGTAACCATGCAGTTCTGAAAACACATTTTAATTTAATTAAAGCTACTTGGAAAGCATCTAAATCTCTGTGTAAAGCAAATGTCCATACTAGTGTACCAAATAGCAAATTAATATGGTAAAACTGAATTATATTTTTGAGCCCATAATTACATGAAAGTGGGAAATTGATATTCAAAATCACATCTTCCACAGAGAACAAACTTCTGCACAATGTAATTGACAATTCCAGTTTATTTACTGAATTTAACACATTGAAAAAATAAATAAATAAACCAGTATGTGGCCTGTACAGAAGTTATAGCACATTTTATATTTCATTTTAAATGTTATCTAAAATATGCTGTGTGAACTATAAAGTCCTGATTCTGAAACAAAGATGGTATATTTATTGTAGCAAAATAAATATCTTAAAACTAAAATCCTGGTTTGTTAAAACAAATGTACTAGCTCCCAAGTGGCACAACCATCTAAGCATATCATCAGGACATCGTGAGTTCAATCCCTGGTGATGCTACAGCCATCCGTAGCTAGGAGTCCAAAAGAGCAGTTCAAAAAGAAGCGGTGGCTGGCTTCACAGTTCTCGGAGGAAGCCTGTGTTAGCCTTCGCCCTCCTAGTGTTGGTAATATCATGTGACTGGGGGAGTCCTAACTAGCGGGTGGAATTGGAGACGACTAAATTGGGGAGAAAATTGGGTAAAAATAATTTTTTAAAAAATGTAAGATGCTCATTCACAAACCAAATTTAATTATTACGGAATATACATGTAATATGTTATTTTTTAATTGTAGGATTGTTCAACTATATTTTGATTGAGACTTTCATAACATCAGGATGGAAGAATTCCGTAAGTACATATTTTTGCTTTAGTGTAAAAACAGTATTTAATATCAGATTGCATCAAAATTAACAATAACGCTTTACAGGGAATACATGTACATGAAGCATTCTATGTATATTCATAAACAGTATAACCTTAATTCATTTCATATGAAGTCTCTATTGAAGTCTTCTTTTTAACCCTCCTGTTATCTTCAAATTTACTAACATCTTTTATCCTTGAGGTCAGGTTGACCCCAGCAATTTAAACCTTCAGGAAATATTAAAGTTTTCATGGGAATAATGTTTTCCTTTCCCTTGTCATGTGAACTATCATCGATTTTTGCACTATTACAGGTATGGTTGTGTTAGGTTAAGGCACTAAAGGTAGAGGGAAATTTATTAGAAAGGTTATAAAACTGCATGTTACAGTGACCTCAATATCTTCAAAAATAATTAAAACAATGTTGAAATGTCTCATGTTTTGTACAGCTAAAACAGCAATGGGTCAAATTGACCCCAGAGAACCTGGATGATGTGTATAAAACATGTACAGGACATTGAAAACAATGCATCATGTTAATTTTATGCATACCCAATTGTCCCTATTAAATTAGGAAAAGTCATTAAATATGAACCAAAAAAAAAGATATCAATCATTTATTAAGAGGCATTAATCATTAAAAGCGGTCAAACTGACCCCAAAGATAATACGAGGGATAATGTAATCTTTAAAATACATGAACTAAATTATCATTTAGCAATTCTGTAGTTAATGTAAAGTCATTACCAATGTTTAGAGCTGTTATTTTGAGAGGCGAGTCAGATGAGAGCTTGAAATGAGAGAGTGCAGACGCAAGCTGAGTATAGAGCGAGCCAAAGCGTTATTTAAGTATAGCATGGCTGTGGTCAACAACAGCTGGTTAATAAAGCACAATGACTTGTCCAAAAGCTGTGTCTCTTTTGGTGGCAGAAGTAATAAAAAAGTTTCACTGTGGGAGGGATTTTTACTATTTGGCCACTAGCCTCTAGCCGCCAAGCTACACTGCTTGCCGAGAGGATATGGAACATTCTGTGTGAAATGAGAAGAGTACATTTAGTTTTCCATCTTAAAGAACACCACAGTCACCTGGAGTCACTGTAAGAAAGCAGTGGTGGTGAAAGAAGAGCTGGTGTGGTGCTCATGCTTGCAAGCACCAGCTAGCTCAGAGGCTACCTGCCACATGCCATTCTAAACCCCCACAACATCAGGGGAAGATCTGCATGCAGATGTAAATAAAGATGGTGGCGCATATGGACAGAATATAGACACATACGGGTACAAGATAAGATGCTAAAATATTCCAGTAAAGCAGGCAGGAGGCTTTCCATACACACTTTGAACAGGTAGCCAAATCGTTTGAGTGGTCCGATGAACAGAAAGCCCTACAGCCGACACTTTGACCGATGATGCATTAGCTTTCCTGTTTTTGTTTGACGCTAGCAGGAGATCTGTTTACAGTGCATCAGTCAGTTTCTTTTAAGAGCACTGAATGCTAGAATATTAGTTCAAAAAATGAAGCAATTCTGAGGTACTTAATGTAAAGATGTTGGCACTGAATGACTGAAAAATATAACAACCACAGCCATTTTACAGCATACAAATACAGAGAAGTAAAGATGTAATTTCAGTCAGGAACATTGCTAGCCTCTACACTCACAAACATAGAAATCTCCAGTCTACAGTATATTTAAAAAAATAACATGCATAAATTTCCACATATAACATAATGGCATTTTTAGACATAATATTAGAAATATTGGAAACATTAAAGTAATATTTCCAGCCGGATAATGAGCCATTAGCCTTATGCCTTCACTAAGACTTCACTAAATCACTGTTCCTAGAGCACAATGAAAAAGAAAAGAAAAACCTAGTGACGTTAAACCAGAATGACATAATTCACTTGTAAAGATACTGTATAGTTCATTAATACCACAGGAATTTTTAATGTACAAATAGGTATTGTGATTCGTACAGCTTTCCTGTCAGTCATGTTTATTCCCCTGTACTGTGTTTTAAATTTATAAATGATCATAATATGAAGCTTACACACAACATCACTCAGTGGATTTTCAATTCACTGCATTAAACATTTACTACTATGTGTTAAATAAATGTTTCAAAACAATTGTGCAGTTGTGTTACTGAATGCATCATGTACATGTAGTTACTGGAAAGAGTTATGAAATGAATATTCACTCATTTAATTTGTTAGGCAAATGTTCTGTCATATTCCAACAAAATCTTTTTATTATCTCTATATGTAGCAGAACATTCACTAATCAATGACAGCTATGAAGATGATAAAGTACATAATGGTGAGTTTGGTCTCATTTAAAAATAATTTCTTACAAATTTTCAAACACTGGACACAGTTTACTATTGTTACTCAAAAGACAACAAAAACATCTTTTATATTATTTTGAGTAAAACAATGGTAAATTACCAGAAAGTAAGTAAATCACACTGAAATACTGAACATGTTCTAGCTACAAAGAATATAAAGAACAAGTAAATTGAATAATAAATGAATAAATAAATAAATGAATAAATAAATGATGGTCCACTGTAGATGGTTGGTAGAAGCTCAGTCTGTGTTTAAGTAACATTTAACTAAATATCTATTAAATGTAACTGAACTTAAAGTTGAATGTGAAGGATTACATTAAAATGAACCCAAACGTTAACCTTAACACAGAACCTAGACCTACTGCTAAACCTAACCTTAACTTCAACACTAAACCTAACACTAACTCCGAATTTACCTAACTCCGACACTAAACCTAACACTAAACCTACGCCTACTCCTAAAGCTCACCCTAACCTTAACTTCAACACTAAACCTACACCTACTCGTAAACTTTACCTTAACCTAAACCTCAACAGTAAACCTACACCTACTCGTAAACCTACTTGTAAACTTTACCTTAACTTAAACTTCAACACTAAACCTACACCTACTCGTAAACTTTACCTTAACCTAAACTTCAACACTAAACCTACACCTACTCGTAAACTTTACCTTAAACTAAACTTCAACACTAAACCTACATCTACTTGTAAACTTTACCTTAAACTAAACTTCAACACTAAACCTACACCTACTCGTGAACTTTACCTAAACCTTAACTTTAACAGTAAACCTACACCTGCTCGTAAACTTTACCTTAACCTAAACTTCAACCATAAACCTACACCTACTCGTGAACTTTACCTAAACCTTAACTTTAACAGTAAACCTACACCTGCTCGTAAACTTTACCTTCACCTAAACTTCAACCATAAACCTACACCTACTCGTAAACTTTACCTTAACCTAAACCTCAACAGTAAACCTACACCTACTCGTAAACTTTACCTTAACCTAAACGTCAACACTAAACCTACACCTACTCGTAAACTTTACCTAAACCTAAATCCAACACTAAACCTACACCTACTGGTAAACTTTACCTTAACCTAAACTTCAACACCAAACCTACACCTAGTCGTAAACTTTACCTTAACCTAAACTTCAACACTAAACCTACACCTACTCGTAAACTTTACCTAAACCTAAATTCAACACTAAACCTACACCTACTGGTAAACGTTAAAATTCAACAGTAAACCTACACCTACTCGTAAACTTTACCTTAACTTAAATTTCAACACTAAATCTACATCTCCTTGTAAACTTTATCTTAACCTTAACTTCAACACTAAACCTGCACCTGCTCCTAAACTTTAATTTCAACACTAAACCTACACCTACTTGTAAACTTTACCTTAACCTAAACTTCAACACTGAACCTACACCTACTCGTAAACTTTACCTTAACCTAAACTTAGAGTAAACTACACCTACCCATAAATTTTAACTTCAACACTAAACCTACACCTACTCGTAAACTTTACCTTAACCTAAACTTCAACACTAAACCTACATCTACTCGTAAACTTTATCTTAACCTTAACTTTAACAGTAAACCTACACCTGCTCGTAAACTTTACCTTAACCTAAACTTCAACCGTGAACCTACACCTATTCATAAACTTGAAATTCAACAGTAAACCTACACCTACTCGTAAACTTTACCTTAACCTAAACCTCAACAGTAAACCTACACCTACTCGTAAACTTTACCTTAACCTAAACCTCAACAGTAAACCTACACCTACTCGTAAACTTTACCTAAACCTAAATCCAACACTAAACCTACACCTACTGGTAAACTTTACCTTAACCTAAACTTCAACCGTAAACCTACACCTGCTCGTAAACTTTACCTTCACCTAAACCTCAACAGTAAACCTACACTTACTCGTAAACTTTACCTAAACCTAAATCCAACACTAAACCTACACCTACTGGTAAACTTTACCTTAACCTAAACTTCAACACTAAACCTACACCTACTCGTAAACTTTACTTAAGCTAAACTTCAACACTAAACCTACATCTACTCGTAAACTTTATCTTAACCTTAACTTTAACAGTAAACCTACACCTGCTCGTAAACTTTACCTTAACCTAAACTTCAACCGTGAACCTACACCTATTCATAAACTTTAAATTCAACAGTAAACCTACACCTACTCGTAAACTTTACCTTAACCTAAACCTCAACAGTAAACCTACACTTACTCGTAACTTTACCTAAACCTAAATCCAACACTAAACCTACACCTACTGGTAAACTTTACCTAACCTAAACTTCAACACTAAACCTACACCTACTCGTAAACTTTACCTTAACCTAAACCTCAACAGTAAACCTACACCTACTCGTAAACCTTACCTTAACCTAAACCTCAACACTAAACCTACACCTACTCATAAACTTTACCATAACTAAATCCAACACTAAACCTACACGTACTGGTAAACTTTACCTTAACCTAAACTTCAACACTAAACCTACACCTACTCGTAAACTTTACCTTAACTTAAACTTCAACACTAAACCTACATCTACTTGTAAACTTTACCTTCACCTAAAGTTCAACACTAAACCTACACCTACTTGTAAACTTTACCTAAACCTAAACCTCAACAGTAAACCTACACCTACTCGTAAACTTTACCTTAACCTAAACCTCAACAGTAAACCTACACTTACTCGTAAACTTTACCTAAACCTAATCCAACACTAAACCTACACCTACTGGTAAACTTTACCTTAACCTAAACTTCAACACTAAACCTACACCTACTCGTAAACTTTACCTTAACTTAAACTTCAACACTAACCTACATCTACTCGTAAACTTTACCTAAACCTTAACTTTAACAGTAAACCTACACCTGCTCGTAAAATTTACCTTAAGCTAAACTTCAACCGTAAACCTACACCTACTCATAAACTTTAAATTCAACAGTAAAACCTACACCTACTCGTAAACTTTACCTTAACCTAAACCTCACAGTAAACCTACACTTACTCGTAAACTTTACCTAAACCTAAATTCAACACTAACCTACACCTACTGGTAACGTTAAAATTCAACAGTAAACCTACACCTACTCGTAAACTTTACCTTAACTTAAATTTCAACACTAAATCTACATCTCCTTGTAAACTTTATCTTAACTTTAACTTCAACACTAAACCTGCACCTGCTCCTAAACTTTAATTTCAACACTAAACCTACACCTACTTGTAAACTTTACCTTAACCTAAACTTCAACACTGAACCTACACCTACTCGTAAACTTTACCTTAACCTAAACTTAGAGTAAACTACACCTACCCATAAATTTTAACTTCAACACTAAACCTACACCTACTCGTAAACTTTATCTTAACCTTAACTTTAACAGTAAACCTACACCTGCTCGTAAACTTTACCTTAACCTAAACTTCAACCGTGAACCTACACCTATTCATAAACTTGAAATTCAACAGTAAACCTACACCTACTCGTAAACTTTACCTTAACCTAAACCTCAACACTAAATCTACATCTCCTTGTAAACTTTACCTTAACCTAAACTTCAACCGTGAACCTACACCTATTCATAAACTTTAAATTCAACAGTAAACCTACACCTACTCGTAAACTTTACCTTAACCTAAACCTCAACAGTAAACCTACACCTACTCGTAAACTTTACCTTAACCTAAACCTCAACACTAAACCTACACCTACTCATAAACTTTACCATAACCTAAATCCAACACTAAACCTACACGTACTGGTAAACTTTACCTTAACCTAAACTTCAACACTAAACCTACACCTACTCGTAAACTTTACCTTAACTTAAACTTCAACACTAAACCTACATCTACTTGTAAACTTTACCTTCACCTAAAGTTCAACACTAAACCTACACCTACTTGTAAACTTTACCTAAACCTAAACCTCAACAGTAAACCTACACCTACTCGTAAACTTTACCTTAACCTAAACCTCAACAGTAAACCTACACTTACTCGTAAACTTTACCTAAACCTAAATCCAACACTAAACCTACACCTACTGGTAAACTTTACCTTAACCTAAACTTCAACACTAACCTACACCTACTCGTAACTTTACCTTAACTTAAACTTCAACACTAAACCTACATCTACTCGTAAACTTTACCTAAACCTTAACTTTAACAGTAAAACCTACACCTGCTCGTAAAATTTACCTTAAGCTAAACTTCAACCGTAAACCTACACCTACTCATAAACTTTAAATTCAACAGTAAACCTACACCTACTCGTAAACTTTACCTTAACCTAAACCTCAACAGTAAACCTACACTTACTCGTAAACTTTACCTAAACCTAAATTCAACACTAAACCTACACCTACTGGTAAACGTTAAAATTCAACAGTAAACCTACACCTACTCGTAAACTTTACCTTAACTTAAATTTCAACACTAAATCTACATCTCCTTGTAAACTTATCTTAACCTTAACTTCAACACTAAACCTGCACCTGCTCCTAAACTTTAATTTCAACACTAACCTACACCTACTTGTAAACTTTACCTTAACCTAAACTTCAACACTGAACCTACACCTACTCGTAAACTTTACCTTAACCTAAACTTAGAGTAAACTACACCTACCCATAAATTTTAACTTCAACACTAAACCTACACCTACTCGTAAACTTTACCTTAAGCTAAACTTCAACACTAAACCTACATCTACTCGTAAACTTTATCTTAACCTTAACTTTAACAGTAAACCTACACCTGCTCGTAAACTTTACCTTAACCTAAACTTCAACCGTGAACCTACACCTATTCATAAACTTGAAATTCAACAGTAAACCTACACGTACTCGTAAACTTTACCTTAACCTAAACCTCAACAGTAAACCTACACCTACTCGTAAACTTTACCTTAACCTAAACCTCAACAGTAAACCTACACCTACTCGTAAACTTTACCTAAACCTAAATCCAACACTAACCTACACCTACTGGTAAACTTTACCTTAACCTAAACTTCAACCGTAAACCTACACCTGCTCGTAAACTTTACCTTCACCTAAACCTCAACAGTAAACCTACACTTACTCGTAAACTTTACCTAAACCTAAATCCAACACTAAACCTACACCTACTGGTAAACTTTACCTTAACCTAAACTTCAACACTAAACCTACACCTACTCGTAAACTTTACCTTAAGCTAAACTTCAACACTAAACCTACATCTACTCGTAAACTTTATCTTAACCTTAACTTTAACAGTAAACCTACACCTGCTCGTAAACTTTACCTTAACCTAAACTTCAACCGTGAACCTACACCTATTCATAAACTTTAAATTCAACAGTAAACCTACACCTACTCGTAAACTTTACCTTAACCTAAACCTCAACAGTAAACCTACACTTACTCGTAAACTTTACCTAAACCTAAATCCAACACTAAACCTACACCTACTGGTAAACTTTACCTTAACCTAAACTTCAACACTAAACCTACACCTACTCGTAAACTTTACCTTAACCTAAACCTCAACAGTAAACCTACACCTACTCGTAAACTTTACCTTAACCTAAACCTCAACACTAAACCTACACCTACTCATAAACTTTACCATAACCTAAATCCAACACTAAACCTACACGTACTGGTAAACTTTACCTTAACCTAAACTTCAACACTAAACCTACACCTACTCGTAAACTTTACCTTAACTTAAACTTCAACACTAAACCTACATCTACTTGTAAACTTTACCTTCACCTAAAGTTCAACACTAAACCTACACCTACTTGTAAACTTTACCTAAACCTAAACCTCAACAGTAAACCTACACCTACTCGTAAACTTTACCTTAACCTAAACCTCAACAGTAAACCTACACTTACTCGTAAACTTTACCTAAACCTAAATCCAACACTAAACCTACACCTACTGGTAAACTTTACCTTAACCTAAACTTCAACACTAAACCTACACCTACTCGTAAACTTTACCTTAACTTAAACTTCAACACTAAACCTACATCTACTCGTAAACTTTACCTAAACCTTAACTTTAACAGTAAACCTACACCTGCTCGTAAAATTTACCTTAAGCTAAACTTCAACCGTAAACCTACACCTACTCATAAACTTTAAATTCAACAGTAAACCTACACCTACTCGTAAACTTTACCTTAACCTAAACCTCAACAGTAAACCTACACCTACTCGTAAACCTACTCGTAAACTTTACCTTAATCTAAACTTCAACAGAAAACCTACACCTACTCTTAAACTTTATCTTAACCTTAACTTTAACACTAAACCTACATCTACTCGTAACCTTTACCTTAACCTTAACTTTAACACTAAACCTACACCTACTTATAAACTTTACCTAAACCTAAACTTCAACACTAAACCTACACCTACTCGTAAACTTAAACACTAAACCTAAACTTCAACAGTAAACCTACACCTACTTGTAAACTTTACCTAAACCTAAACTTCAACACTAAACCTACACCTACTCGTAAACTTAAACACTAAACCTAAACTTCAACAGTAAACCTACACCTACTTGTAAACTTTACCTAAACCTAAACTTCAACACTAAACCTACACCTACTCGTAAACTTTACCTTAACCTAAACTTCAACAGTAAACCTACACCTACTCGTAAATGTTACCTTAACCTAAACTTCAACACTAAACCTACACCTACTCCTAAACCTAACCTTAACGTCAACCCTAAACCTAACACTAACCAAGTACCAAATTACATGAGGTGAACGGACTGCATAAAGACACTTCAAAACATAAGTGCTATATAGTATGTACCTGTTTAATATAAATATTAAATTGATGTGAATCTGGGCCATAAAATGAAGCAAAATTTCATATTATTGCTTAATTGGGTCCTTACCCTGATTGTTTTCATTTACTTTCCTTCATAAATATGCAACATTACAGTGAAAGTTAGTGAGAGCATGTTTGTATTTATCACCTTGTGACTACAAATACAAACCTGTTAGACATCTCAATGTAATCTTGTCAGAAACCCTTTGCAAAAATTATTATAAAGTATTTTGCATACTGTACTACAAACCAGAAAACTGCTAAAACTGCAAACAAAAATATTAATCTAGCATATGAGTTTCTACTATACACTTACCTGTTTAAGTGTATCTAGACCTTACAGCAATGCAGAAAGTATTACTGTTATTATTTTTTTATGTAAGTCTATATGAGACATAAACAAATGATCATTTTTTCTAGATCTTAAGGCTCCATTTTTTGAGAAATTCACCCCACATTTACTGACCTCTTTCAGACCAATTCAATGTTAGGTGTATTCTGTAACACATTACTATTGATATTTCTATGTATTTCTTATTGGATTCAGTTTCAAGCTTGTTCAGTGAAATGTTGTTTCTGTAATCATCAGCGTCTCCACTTGAGATTTTGGATCTACTGGAGATTGGTCCTTCTGAACAGGGTAAGCATGCAATCTTTCAGGATTGTGACAAATTGTCTATTTAAGAAGGAGACAAGGTAGGAGAATGCAGTCAAAGCATAATTTATGTTGAAATATGCTCATGCTCCTCTCCTAGTGACCGAGTAACATTGCAGGGACCCCAAACACAACTAGCTAGCTTGAAAAAAAGAAGCTGAAACTAATGAAATATAAAACAATTTTAAGATTAAAGATCCCGAAACTTGGCTCCCGAGTGGCTCAATCGTCTAAGCGCTGGCCCTATCATCAGGAGATCGCGACTTCTCGGGAGTCCAAAGAGCATAATTGGCCTCGCTCTCTCTGGGTGGGTAGGATGGCCCCCCCTTCTCCCCCCATCACTCAACACGATGCTAGTTTGCGCAGGCGTCTGTTAGCTGATGTAACAGATCTGGCGGTTGGTGCTTTCCTCCGAGTGCATTCAGCTGTCCAATGACGTTGCGTGAGCGGCACTTCGAAAAGAAGCGGTGTTTGGTTTCACAGGTCTCGGAGGAAGCCTGTCTTAGCCTTCGCCCTCCTAGCGTTGGTAGTATCTTGTGATTGGGGGAGTCCTAACAAGTGGGTGGAATTGGAGACGACTAAATTGGGGAGAAAACTGGTATATTGGTAATAAATAAATAAATAAATAAATAAATAAATACATACATACATACATACATACATACAAAATCCCTAAGATCCCTAAACTTGAAAATACAAAACTCAATTCCAAATAAAAAGTTGGGACAGTTTATGAAATGCAAATGAAAACAGAAAGCAGTGATTTGTAAATCCACTTTGACTGGTATTTAGATGGGGTGATATAAACTACAAATGTTATAACAAGTTCAAAAACATCTTATACAGGTGATACAACCATGAGTATAAAAGGAGCATCCAGGCTTGCCATTTTGCCAAAAAAGGCATCAGTAATTCATCCACCAGTGTGAGAACAACATTGCTCAATAAACTTAGGCAAGATTTTATTTACAAACAGTTATAACTGTATAAGGTTAAACATCATATACCATGTTTACATACTGTTTCCTACAGTGGCTGAGAAGACCCAATGAACTGCATATAAAAAATGAGCTGCAAAAGCAGAACAGACTTTCATCAAAATGACAACATAGGTGGTGTATTTTACAAATGGATTGCAAAATAATAAAACATGCATCACATTTAGACACTCTGCAAACTGAGAAAACACTTTCATAAAAAGGACACCAGCAAAACATTTCACACAATGCAGATAGAGAAAATACATTCATCAAAATGGCAGCATCAATACTACATTTCACAAATGTGCTGCAAACACAGAGGACACAAGCAACTTTAGAAGTGCTGAGGAGTCTGTCACAACATAACAAATATATAGGACACTAAAAGCTGATGGAGCCATTCAAACTTGCAGCATAAACAGGCAATGGTAAAAGTAAGTAAACCAGTAAAACTTGAGCAGATAACATCACTGTATCCAAAAAGAACCCTAGCTGTGTAACGTAACAGTAATATTTCAAATAGCATCACTACTGGTGTATAGATATGACATGTCAGAGAGCTAACTAGCCAGCCAAGTTACTCTTGGACTTTCTGGAATGTGAGTCTTTGTGATCTTATCAAGTTTTGTCAGTGATTTTCCATCACAGATATTCCTTCTCCTTTGAGAGTCTTCCAAAAACAACGACAGTGTTGTGACTGGCTTTGCAGCATTTCAAAGCTGCATGTGTTTTCTGTGTTTGTAGTATGTTTGTGAAATGTAGCTCAGGTGTGGTCACACTGATCGAAATGTTTTCTGAATTTGTTGCACATTTATACATTTGTAATCATTTTTATTTGTATTGTGCATATGATATTATCAATCACTGTAATTTTCATTTTAATACAGGTCAAACAAAATTTACTAATCACTGCTTTCTGTTTCTTACTAGCATTTTCTCAATGTTTTTGGAAATTAGGTTTCTAATACACGATGAAAAAAAAAACCCATCACCAACTGCGTTTTACAAATTATACACCTACTTTTAAAATTGTTTCATTAATCTTCTGTGTTTATAGAACAGGAGTTTACTGGGTCCTTACTCTGATTCTTCTCATTTACTTTCCTTCATAAATATGCAACATTACAGTGAAAGTTAGTGAGAGCATGTTTGTATTTATCACCTTGTGACTACAAATACAACTTTGTATGTAGAATGTGCAATTTTGCAATATTTTTCTAGATCCTTTGTCATCTTAATATGTACAAACCTGTTAGACATCTCAATGTGATCTTGTCAGATAGCCTTGGCAAAAATTATTATAAAGTATTTTGCATACTGTACTACAAACCAGAAAACTGCTAAAACTGCAAACAAAAATATTAATCTAGCATATGAGTTTCTACTATACACTTACCTGTTTAAGTGTATCTAGACCTTACAGCAATGCAGAAAGTATTACTGTTATTATTTTTTTATGTAAGTCTATATGAGACATAAACAAATGATTGTTCTTTCTAGATCTTAAGGCTCCATTTTTTGAGAAATTCACCCCACATTTACTGACCTCTTTCAGACCAATTCAATGTTAGGTGTATTCTGTAACACATTACTATTGATATTTCTATGTATTTCTATTGGATTCAGTTTCAAGCTTGTTCAGTGAAATGTTGTTTCTGTAATCATCAGCGTCTCCACTTGAGATTTTGGATCTACTGGAGATTGGTCCTTCTGAAAAGGGTAAGCATGTAATCTTTCAGGATTGTGACAAATTGTCTATTTAAGAAGGAGACAAGGTAGGAGAATGCAGTCAAAGCATAATTTATGTTGAAATATGCTCATGCTCCTCTCCTAGTGACCGAGTAACATTGCAGGGACCCCAAACACAACTAGCTAGCTTGAAAAAAAGAAGCTGAAACTAATGAAATATAAAACAATTTTAAGATTAAAGATCCCGAAACTTGGCTCCCGAGTGGCTCAATCGTCTAAGCGCTGGCCCTATCATCAGGAGATCGCGACTTCTCGGGAGTCCAAAAGAGCATAATTGGCCTCGCTCTCTCTGGGTGGGTAGGATGGCCCCCCCTTCTCCCCCCATCACTCAACACGATGCTAGTTTGCGCAAGCGTCTGTTAGCTGATGTAACAGATCTGGCAGTTGGTGCTTTCCTCCGAGTGCATTCAGCTGTCCAATGAAGAGGCGTGAGCAGCAGTTCGAAAAGAGGCAGTGGCTGGTTTCGCAGGTCTCAGAGGAAGCCTGTCTTAGCCTTCGCCCTCCTAGCGTTGGTAGTATCTTGTGATTGGGGGAGTCCTAACAAGTGGGTGGAATTGGAGACGACTAAATTGGGGAGAAAACTGGTATATTGGTAATAAATAAATAAATAAATAAATACATACATACATACATACATACAAAATCCCTAAGATCCCTAAACTTGAAAATACAAAACTCAATTCCAAATAAAAAGTTGGGACAGTTTATGAAATGCAAATGAAAACAGAAAGCAATGATTTGTAAATCCACTTTGACTGGTATTTAGATGGGGTGATATAAACTACAAATGTTCTAAAAAGTTCAAAAACATCTTATACAGGTGATACAACCATGAGTATAAAAGGAGCATCCAGGCTTGCCATTTTGCCAAAAAAAGCATCAGTGATTCATCCACCAGTGTGAGAACAACATTGTTCAATAAGCTTAGGCAAGATTTTTAGGTATTCCATCCTCTACAGTGTATAGTCTCATAAAAATTCAGAGAATCCTAAGAAATCTCTGTACATAAAGGGCAAAAACAACAACTGAACCCTTGTGACCTTCCATCCCTCAGAAAACACTTGAAAATCAGGATGTTTTTATGGGTAGGTTGATATTACTGCAAGGGCTCAGGAATGGTCTCAATGTTTTTGGAATGTGCTGCTGGCATAAAATTTGGAATTAGTGTATATTTACAAACAGTTATAACTGTATAAGGTTAAACATCATATACCATGTTTACATACTGTTTCCTACAGTGGCTGAGAAGACCCAATGAACTGCATATAAAAATGAGGCTGGCAAAAGCAGAACAGACTTTCATCAAAATGACAACATAGGTGGTGTATTTTACAAATGGATTGCAAAATAATAAAACATGCATCACATTTAGACACTCTGCAAACTGAGAAAACACTTTCATAAAAAGGACACCAGCAAAACATTTCACACAATGCAGATAGAGAAAATACATTCATCAAAATGGCAGCATCAATACTACATTTCACAAATGTGCTGCAAACACAGAGGACACAAGCAACTTTAGAAGTGCTGAGGAGTCTGTCACAACATAACAAATATATAGGACACTAAAAGCTGATGGAGCCATTCAAACTTGCAGCATAAACAGGCAATGGTAAAAGTAAGTAAACCAGTAAAACTTGAGCAGATAACATCACTGTATCCAAAAAGAACCCTAGCTGTGTAACGTAACAGTAATATTTCAAATAGCATCACTACTGGTGTATAGATATGACATGTCAGAGAGCTAACTAGCCAGCAAGTTACTCTTGGACTTTCTGGAATGTGAGTCTTTGTGATCTTATCAAGTTTGTCAGTGATTTTCCATCACAGATATTCCTTCTCCTTTGAGAGTCTTCCAAAAACAACGACAGTGTTGTGACTGGCTTTGCAGCATTTCAAAGCTGCATGTGTTTTCTGTGTTTGTAGTATGTTTGTGAAATGTAGCTCAGGTGTGGTCACATTGATCGAAATGTTTTCTGAATTTGTTGCACATTTATACATTTGTAATCATTTTTATTTGTATTGTGCATATGATATTATCAATCACTGTAATTTTCATTTTAATACAGGTCAAACAAAATTTACTAATCACTGCTTTCTGTTTCTTACTAGCATTTTCTCAATGTTTTTGGAAATTAGGTTTCTAATACACGATGAAAAAAAAAACCCATCACCAACTGCGTTTTACAAATTATACACCTACTTTTAAAATTGTTTCATTAATCTTCTGTGTTTATAGAACAGGAGTTTACTGGGTCCTTACTCTGATTCTTCTCATTTACTTTCCTTCATAAATATGCAACATTACAGTGAAAGTTAGTGAGAGCATGTTTGTATTTATCACCTTGTGACTACAAATACAACTTTGTATGTAGAATGTGCAATTTTGCAATATTTTTCTAGATCCTTTGTCATCTTAATATGTACAAACCTGTTAGACATCTCAATGTGATCTTGTCAGACAGCCTTGGCAAAAATTATTATAAAGTATTTTGCATACTGTACTACAAACCAGAAAACTGCTAAAACTGCAAACAAAAATATTAATCTAGCATATGAGTTTCTACTATACACTTACCTGTTTAAGTGTATCTAGACCTTACAGCAATGCAGAAAGTATTACTGTTATTATTTTTTTATGTAAGTCTATATGAGACATAAACAAATGATCATTTTTTCTAGATCTTAAGGCTCCATTTTTTGAGAAATTCACCCCACATTTACTGACCTCTTTCAGACCAATTCAATGTTAGGTGTATTCTGTAACACATTACTATTGATATTTCTATGTATTTCTTATTGGATTCAGTTTCAAGCTTGTTCAGTGAAATGTTGTTTCTGTAATCATCAGCGTCTCCACCTAAGTTTCCGGATCTAAAGAAGATTGGTCCTTCTGAAAAGGGTAAGCATGTAATCTTTCAGGATTGTGACAAATTGTCTATTTAAGAAGGAGACAAGGTAGGAGAATGCAGTCAAAGCATAATTTATGTTGAAATATGCTCATGCTCCTCTCCTAGTGACCGAGTAACATTGCAGGGACCCCAAACACAACTAGCTAGCTTGAAAAAAAGAAGCTGAAACTAATGAAATATAAAACAATTTTAAGATTAAAGATCCCGAAACTTGGCTCCCGAGTGGCTCCATCGTCTAAGCGTTGGCCCTATCATCAGGAGATCGCGACTTCTCGGGAGTCCAAAAGAGCATAATTGGCCTCGCTCTCTCTGGGTGGGTAGGATGGCCCCCGCTTCTCCCCCCATCACTCAAAGCGATGCTAGTCAGTGCAGGCGTCTGTTAGCTGATGTAACAGATCTGGCGGTTGGCGCTTTCCTCCGAGTGCGTTCAGCTGTCCAATGACGTTGCGTGAGCGGCACTTCGAAAAGAAGCAGTGGTTGGTTTCGCAGGCTGTGTTTATAGAACTGGAGCAGCCTGCAGTGCGGATGGTTTTGGTGGGTAAAACTGGATCAGCAAAGAGTGCAGCAGGAAACACCATCTTGGGCAGAGAGGCTTTCACAGTGGACTGCTCTCCTGAGTCACACACTAAAACCTGTAAGAAGCAAAATGCTGTAGTCAATGAAAGAGCCATCTTGATCATTGACGCTCCAGCACTTTGTGACACATCAATGCATCCTGAGTCAGTAAAAAAAGAGGTAGAAAAATGTATCTACATGTCAGTTCCTGGTCCACATGTGTTCCTACTGGTGATATGACTTGGAGTAAAATTTACAGAAGAAGAGAGAAACACTGTGAAGTGGATTCAGGAAAACTTTGGAGAAGATGCCTCAATGTTCACAATCATATTGTTTACTTTTAAAGATCATGTGAAAGGAAAACCTGTAGAACAATACATATATAATAGTGGATATCTCAGAAAAATTGTTAATAGTTGTGGAGGCAGGTACCACTTTTTTAACAATGAGGATACAAAGAACCGCACTAAGGTTGATGAACTACTGAGAAAGATTGAGGACATGATAGAAAAGAACCATGAAAAATAGCACTACACTAATGAAATGTACGAGGAGGCTCAGAGAAAGATCAGAGAGGAAAAAGAGAGGAGGAGACAGGAAGAAGCACGGCAAAGAGAGGAAGAAAAGCAAAGGATCAGGGAGGAACTTATGAGGGAAAATGAAAATTGCTGTTTGCCATGGATAAACTCTGTAAGGGAAAAAATTCAGAAAGCAACTGATATAGGGAAAGGAGCAACAGCAGGAGGAGGGTTTGGAGTTGCTGGTGCTTCAGCACTTGGTGTAGCAGGAGTAGTAACATGCACACCAGCACTCTTCATAGTGCCACCTATTACATTTATACTATGTCCTGTCTTTGGTGTAGTGGTAGGGTGGTGCATCTATAAGAACAAAAGGAAATGTGACTTTGCCCATTTATCCAGAAGAGCATTTGTGAGGTCAAACACTGATGTTGGATGAGAGGGCCTGGCTCACAATCTCCAGTCTAGTTCATCCCAAAGGTGTTTGATGGGGTTGAGGTCAGGGCTCTGTGAGGGCCAGTCAAGTTCTTCCACACCAAACTTACCCAGCCAGGCCTTTATGGACCTTGCTTTGTGCACTGGGGCTCAGTCATGCTGGAACAGAAAAGGGCCTTGCCAAAACTGTTTGTATGGTCCACCACTTTGTGGCTGAGCTGTTGTTGTTCCTAGACGATTGCATTTTGCTATAATAGCACTTACAGTTGACAGGCAGATCTAACAGGACAGAAATTTCACAAACTGACTTGCAGCAGAGGTGGCATCCCATGACAGCACCATGTTTAAAGTCACTGAGCTCATCAGTATATGGAAGGCAAATCCAGCCAAAAAAGAAATTTAAATTAAAACAATAAAATGTAAATACAAACCTCTTTTTGCCATTTCTTTTTCCAAACATCTGCACAAATATCCTGCCAAAATTGAAAATGAAATGAAATAACTACATTTGCAATTTCACTTTTCACATAAGCATGAGCCATTTCTAAAGGTAAAAAAGGTATCAGACCAAACGCAAGACTGGTTGAGCATATACCGGTTTGTATAACTTAGAAAACTATTGGGTATTCTCCATAGAAGTGCCAGTATAACATTTTCAGTTGTTTCTGGCGGCATTTGGTCTGATGTTCAGTTTCACCATATCTGAGACATGACGGTGGTTTCTCCGAGACTCAAAATCCCTGCCTAGTGCTAATTAACATATATTTGCATGTTGGTCAGTTTGAAAACGAAAAAGCAAAGTGGGAAATGAAAAGTAAATCTCCAGCAGGTGGCGTCGATGTTTGTTTGCATTTGCATTTTCATTTTGACACTTAAAGCGCGTCCCCGCCGAAAACTGAATCACAAACTGTCACTTTGCTGTTGATTTATCAGTTTTGTATTTTCATTTTAATTTTGTCAGATATGCAGCCGATTACTATGAAAAAGAATGAGAACGTAAACATTGCATTCTGATTTTTGTTTTGACCCGTATTCTGCATTTCATGAAGAAAAGGCAAAGCCAAAGTGAAGCTTATATTTTCTTTTCTCTATTAGCTTTTCCATCTTAGATTTGGCGATGAAATACCAGAATAACGACTAAAATGAAATGACAAATAGCTGTTTTAAATTTATTTTTATTTTTGTCACAAATGGCTCATACTTATGTGAAAAATGAAACTGCAAATGTAGGTATTTCATTTCATTTTCAATTTTGGCAGGATATTTGTGCAGATGTTTGGAAAAAGAAATAGCAAAAAAGAGGTCTGCATTTACATTTTATTGTTTTGATTTTAATTTCTTTTTTGGCTGGATTTGCCTTCCATAATCAGTACGACCAATTCTACTGCCAGTGTTTGTCTATTAAGATAGCAAGGCTATGTGCTTAATTTGATCCACCTATTAGCAATGTAGCCGAAACACATGAACTCAATAATTAGGAGGGGTATCCCAAGACTTTTGTCCATATAGTGTATACATTTTTAATAGGAGACAGGCAGGCCAGACAACCACTCACACTCTGGGTCCACAAAACCATGCTGTTGTAGAACGTGCAGAATGAGGTCTGGTGTTGTCTTGTTGAAATAACCATGGACTTTGTTGCAGCCAACAGATCTCTCTTTTTGCCCAGGGTCTGAACATTTATAAGTAACTCTAATATTGTCTATACTATTTGCCCTAATAACTATCTGTAATCTAACATATTTCAAAAGAATGAAAAGAATCAAAGAATATCAACAAAAATGAAAAAGGATGAAAAAGACTTTAGCCACTGAGTTCTTGTGGAATGAAAGAAAAGGCCTTTGCTTTGCTGAGCATCAAGTGGCAAGATGGTTCCCCGTCAACCACAGTGCAAGTATCATCTCAAAACATCCCTTTTTTATTCCCCTCTGGGGTGATGAGGTAATCTCCCCACCCCTTTTACACAATTCCATACCATTTTAGTCCCCATCATATCCACATTTTACACCTTTTTTGATAACGCTTAAAACCCAAACGTGTATGATGTCCTTTTTTAAAAAAAACTACTCTAGTACCAGGACGTTCCCCCCTTACAAGGCCCTCTTGCACAACTCTCCATAGGGCCATCTTAAACACTTCTTCCATATATGTTCAACAGTTTACCCCAGCTATAACTTAATCTGTCATCTGGTACAACTCTAAGTCAGCTCTCTAGTCAGTCAATATTTAGTTTATTGATTGTTAATCAGGGAATGTTTCATTCCATCGTTTCCATCAACTTCCCGGGAAAAAAATGTTATCTTGATGACAGCATATCTCTTTCTCTAAAATCCCAATGTACGTCTCCACATCAGTACATCACCTTCATGTACAAGTCACTCATGCCTTGGGCTCTGATGCACCCCATACCATGACAGATGTTGACTTTTGCACCTTTTACTGATAAAAGTCTGGATGGCCCCTTTCGTCTTTGACACGGAGAACTCACCACCCTTTGTTCCCAAAAACAAGCTAAAATGTGGACCACAGAACACATTTCTACTGTCTTTCAGACCATCTCAGATGAGTTAGAGCCCAAATAACTTGGCAGCATTTCTGCACAGAAGAGATTCTCCTTGCATAATAAAGTTGAATTTCTTGATGAAACAGCAGATTGTGTTAAGAGACAGTGGTTTTCTGAAGTATTCCTGAGCTCATGTGGTTACATTTAATACTGTATCATGATGGTTTTTCATGCAATGCCATCGGAGGGGTCGAGGGGTCATGCACATTCAATAGCAGTTTCCAGCTTTGCCCTACACAAACTGAGATTTCTCTGGATTCCTTGAATATTATCACAACATTGAATATAGTAGATGGTGAAAGACAGAAATTATTTGTGATCTTTCTTTGAAAAATGTCCTTTTTGAACTGTTTGACAATTCCCTCACAAGGTTTTGGCACAGAGTGGTGCGATATGCCCCCTTTTTGTTTGAAAAAACTGAACCTTTGGTGGATGTTCCTTTTATATTCACTCATGGTACCCTTACCTGTTACCAATTCACCTGCTTATTGTGGAGTGTTTCATTGAAATGCTCTATATTATGTTTTATCTGTGCTGCAGGCTTAAGATTTTTAATGTGTTTATTTTTACAAAATACAATCAAGTTGATCAGCCAAAACATTGCAAGTTATGTCTTTGTACTTTTTTCAGTTAAATAAAGCTTCAAGAGAATTATGAAATCACAGATTCTTGTTTTTATTTCATTTTACAAAATGTCTCAACTTTTCTGGAAATTGGGGTTTGTATATAACAGACAGCTCTAATCCCCTTCTGGCACTGCTCAAGGTGGCTGACTGTTCCAGTAGCTCAGTGTCTGCGTCTTCTATTGTTTTTGTAAATAGCCTCTTTTAACCCACTTTCTTTCTTTTCTGGATAGTGAGGCATGGTCTAAAGTTGTTACACAACTTTCTAAAACTTTTATTGGCTTTTCAATGAATCATTCAACAGAAGTTTCAGACTATGACTGCACCGTGTGCCCTAGCATTGTCTACACGAGGAATCAGCTGATCGTGCCGCGGAAGCCGGCAGCTTTGGCAGCCGGCAGCCAAAGGACTTTGTTCACTGGTGTAAGCTGAACCAGCTGCAGCTAAACATCAGTAAGACTAAAGAGATGGTGCTGGACTTTAGGAAGTCACCACTGATGGAGTTGATGTGGAGGTGGTGGGGACCTACAAATATCTGGGTGTGCACCTGGACAACAGTCTACACAAAGCCTGTCAGTCTGGTTTAGACTCTCTAGGGTACGGCTCATCTCATATAACTTATCAGCTAATAGGAAGACTGAGAACAACTGATTTCACTACTGGGAGCAGGAGTGCTTCTGCTTGATTGGAATGAAAACATGCAGCCACACCAGCCATTTATGGATGACAGCGGTAACTCCTGGTCTAAGGTCTCAAGGCCAATCACACAAATGAACACACAGCCAAATGATATATAAAATATAGAAAATGGTATACTACATGTATACGTTAATACATTACTGTGCACAAGTCATCTAAGAACATTATTTAGAATCAGAATAAGGATAGTTTTCTCTTTCAATCACAAAAATAAAAGTTGAAAGAAGATTAAAATAATTGAAATAAAGGCTGGATGTTTGTTACTATTTGAATGAAAGATCAAATGGAAAAGCAATATAAAGTGTTTTTTACAGCCTGATTTGCTCGTGTTTACCAGTGGGGCCAATATTTGTGAAGGGTAATCTATCTGTTTACATCAGAGTACTCAAATGTTCCATAAATTGCATATCTACAAACTGTGACAAAAATACATGTTTACAGTGTTTACAGATGCTTCACTACTTCTACTCTGCAGATTTGTTTTTAATATTTTATGCTAGTTTTTTCATGTTTTACCAATTATGTACAACAGGACCGCTTCAAATAAATTCAAATGTAAATGTTACCAAGATAAACACTGTAACAAACAACTTGATTAGAGAAGATTTATGATTAGATATGTATTATTATATAGAAGATCATGTTTTAATCACAATGAATCAAGACTAAAGCATTTAAAGAACACAGCATCAAACATCACAGAATAATCTAAATAAATGATTAAACCCTCACATATAAAACCTCAAACCCTCAATCAACCAACAATTAAAACAAACATTATACGTGAATTAAAAATGTAATTACACTAAGAATCATGATAAGGAAATTTGTAATTAAATTACAAAAAAACTCAAAGTGTGTCTCGAGGTTCTGTAAAACTGGTAACTACTGGACACCAGACAAATATGTAATGCAGTTTGATATTCAATGAGGTTGCAGTTGATCTTAAAGAGTGATTTTCATATTTAATATGACATCCAGAAATCAATAGAGCACCACTGAAAGCTTTAAAAACTTAAGCTAAAACATTGAGTCAATCCTGTGATCCAAACACAGCTGTTCTTTTTTCTCTAGTTCTCTCTAGTTCTCTCTGAATTTTAGAGCAGTTTCCTAGTTAGCTGCAGGGAAATAGTTAAAGATTAATAAAAAGTCTAAATACAATAAAGTAAAATAAGTAAAAAAGAAATTAAAGAAATCAAACACAAAACCCCAAAAGACAGATATCAGTTTGATTAGCTTTCATATGTGGTATATACAATCTAAATGGAATACAGTATATAATCATTTCCACAATTATTTCCCCATTTATTATAAAGTATTGGTGAATATAAAAGATTTTGGCCTCTCTCATGGACTGGTCTTTCTGATTTTTTTCACTTTTACAGTGAAGTTGCTGGGAAATCCCAATGTACTGAATTCATGTTGAAGCTGGAAAAGAAAATCTTAAAACACTCATATTAACACAAACAGATGTGTTATGTCTCACTGTGTTAGCCACAGTGATGTAGTAGCAATAGAGATTGAATGAAGCATTAATTACAGCATATAGCTATTACATTTTTTATAAATAAGAAAAAAAAAAACTGATTATAGGTCCTTAATTTTATTTTTTGTGTGTTTCTAGTTCAGTAGTTAGGGTTCTGCTCAAGAAATGAACTATTTTTTAGGACATCCCATTATCAGAATAATAGTAGCGCACTGGAACTTTCATTCTCTGAAAATTGTCCCAATACACCACTGAAAACAGTCGTTCACTATGCTCCCCGTACAGCCCAACTTTTGGAAAGTTATAAAGTGGGAGAATAATGCCGTACTTTATTTCACCTGCCTCTGAGAAAACACTCAGAAAAGTTTTAGTTAAATCTTTAGTGGAAAAGTCACTGTAAAACTTAAGCTATTAGCCTTGTTTTAGCTACAGCTGGCATGAAATGCTTACATTACATAACATAAATGTAACAAAACATACAGCACCATACAGGAGCACTAGCAGATATTAGCATTATTCTATTGGTGTTAATTGAATGAAGAAAAGCTACTTAAGAAGTGAGATAATTGCATTAAAATTTGCTATATGTGCTTGGGCCAGGCACCCAAGCCCCAAGAGAGGTGATGTGAGGATGGCGCCCAAGGCCCAGATGCTGGTGAGAGGCAGCATGAGGACTGTGTTCAGCACCAGAGCTGAGCAGGTGAAAAGCTAACTCTGGGAGAAAGACTGAAAAGTCAGCATACTGAGTAATAGTCCACTAAAATATGGTGGATTTTTGGTTTGTTAAAGTTAAAAGCTTTCTGCAACTGTCACACCCGCCTCTGCATCCTACCTCCTTTCAGGGTAGAACACGGCATGCTACAGTGACTGGCTCTTGGCTGTTTCTGGGTCTCAGTGTCAACAAAATAAAAAGGTTCATGAAACAACTGGAATATCCAAGCCCACAGATGACAATATGACTAAAGACAACATAATGGTGCAGCTGCCTATTCAGTGTTGTTGATAGCACTGTCTGTGTATCACATTTTAGAAGGCAGTGTCTCAATATTCTTGGTATCAGGGACCTAGTTAGTACCTGACATCATATTCACTATGTATTGATTCACTACATACACTGTAAAAATGCCTCATCAGATCTACTTAAAAATTACTTCATGTAGTAACAAGTAAATTAACTACGTTTGTTCAACCTAAATAAATACTTTCAATGAACGATTCTTTAAAACAATGTATTTTTTTGAGTTGAATAAACTAGTTCAATTGCTTGTTACCACATGACATAGTTTTTTTTTTTTTTTAAGTAGATCTGACAAGCCACTTTTTACAGTGTACGCAGGGTAGTTTTATCCAATGCTCTCAAACTCTGTGACATCAGGTAGGTGTCTTCAGATTAGATGGAGACTGTGAGGTAAAATACGTTACACTGTCAAAAGTGGCTCATCAGATGTACTTAAAAAATTACTTCATGTGGGAACAAGTGAGTTAACTAGTTTTATTCAACCTAAATAAATACTTTGAATGAATGATTCTTTCAATCAAAGTCAATTTTTGAGCTAGTTTATTTACTTGTTACCACATGAAGTATTTTTTTTTTTTTAAGTAGATCTGACGAGCCACTTTTTACAGTGCACTCACCTGCACTAGCAGCAAGTCCTCAATCTGAGATTGTGCCAGATTGCCTGCAGCTTTGACTTTCATTCGCAGTCCCACCACAGGACCTGAGGGAACAGTAGTGTCTCAGTACAATTCATGCACATCTACTTTTGGAAATACCTTGTCACTGTTGATCATTCAGTGGTGTTAAAATGAATATTTTGTCTGCCTAATATTATATAACCTGTAAAATTAAAATCTCACAGCATTTAAAAGGTACATTTCTTACCTGGAGCTTGTTGTGGAAGAGCGGCCACTACCAAAATACCAAAGACAAATGGAAGACACAATTACAATTCTAGCTGTCTTTAAGAACATGTGTACACACACACACACACACACACACACATTTTGTTGATTTTCTAAGTAAATAGAAGTTAATGTATCTGCTACAGAGAACACAATTTGGTGTCATGTTCAATGTTTACGGCACATTTTTGTTATATTTAATAATTTTAAGTAGATCATTCTCTGTAGAGGTGAACTTCCTTTCACTTAAAAACTCAACAAATGCTGTAATTTGAACAAGAATATTTAAACGAGGCTCACCACTGTGGCAGATGAAAGGGAACCTGACTAAGCATTTTTCATCGGTCCACTGGGCTGAATGTTGTAGATCCACAGCTGTACAGTGCTGATCTCTAAAATGTCCATATTCCATTGAATACATACCATTATCAGGCTCTGAATGTGCTGATCCAACATGTGGTCTCCAATATAAGAAAGAAGAATTGCTCTGATCTGACCACAGTCGGTTTCTATACAGACCGATCCATACTTTCTGTCCATTTGAGACTTTCAGGATTTCCTGTAGCTCTGTCTCATTCCTCACACTGGCCAGATCAGTGTAATCTGTTCTACAGAAGATCTGAGCCTCTGACCAAGTCTTTTCTTCAGAGGTATAAACATATGTGTTGTTCTTACCTAAGGGTGGGACGTTTTAAGAACATTTGAGACCAAGTAGTGGTACATTTATGGATGTAATTATGTGCCAAAACTTTTAAAACATAAAACAAATCACAATATGAAGTGTCTAAATGTAAACAATAAAAATTACTATTAGTAAAAGGTTTGAAAAATTTTAGAATTATTTATGCTATGGAATTGTCATCAGTTCAGGGCCAAACAGCTGGAAATCATGAACGCTTTTCTAATTTCCACAAAACTTCATAGACTCAAACAACACAAGACTGTAGGAGTGCAATGAGAGCTATATAACCGTATCTCAAAAGAGACAGTCATATATAGCTCAAATTGTGCATGTTACCTGTGTAACAATAGCAGCTTGATGTCTTAAAACATATCTGACATCCACCAGTCAGTTTTCAGTAGGCATAAGACAGGGTTAAAATCAGTAACAAGGCATGCAACTTCAATGAAATGCCTAGCTATGTATATTAGCAAATTATATCAAATCATTCAAGTCTGACAAATAAACATCTTTGCAATTCCAAAATATGTCAGAAATTGCGTCATGTCTTATATGTCGATTTTTTGTAGCATATTTATTGTATATTATATAAATATCAAAAGGTCAATATGCATAAACTTTAGTGTGTATCATATCATAAGACCCCAGCTGCATAATTAAGACAGATGGAGACTCTTTGATTAACTCTGGCTGCTTATTATTTATCTTCTATGTGTGAAAAATTACCAAACTGGTGTAATAAGCCTCATTGTTCTGATTCATGCTTAGGTCCCTGAATTGTTTATACATATTATTACTAATAATTATTATTACTATTAATGCTAGTCAAACAGAGACTTTGTTTACTTCTTTTCACATAGAAAATCAACAAAATATTTAATTTGGCCAGAGGTGCCCAAACATTTGCATACAACTGTGTATTATCCCTTTTGCTGTCTATTGTCATTTGAATGAAACAGGGGAGATGGACACAATAGTTATAGACTACACTTGACATGTTCCACCACGTTAGGGGACTTCCCATGATTCACAGGGTGGGTGTGGCTCACATGTCTTAACAGCAAGTAGGCATTTAAATGTAGTATTGCATCATGTTGTGTCTAAAAGTCTTCAGGAAGTCTATGCTAGAAACGTTAACTGAATGCACAGAGTCAAAATGTTACTAAACCATGGACCTTTCAGAATATAAAATAAAAAGAATCCATCAGGATCCCCACTCTACTATTTATTGCCAACAAATAAATCCACTTCATTAGGATATTTCAGGTACATATTTCACGGTTGTGTACATTAAAAATAAATAAATAAATAAATAAATAAATAAATAAATATATATTTATGTTGTTCCTTTCTGTTAACATTCATCCTGATAGATACTGAAAGTTTTCCCTCATCCATTTTAATGTGAAATGGCAGAGTGATGTAACACCTCAAAAATTAGAAATTGAGCATTGAAGTCTCCCAGTAAGACTATGGAGTCTGTAGGCAGGACCCTTTCCAGAACCCTGCCCACTTGCTCCAAGAAGGCCGAATACTCCGACCTGCTGTTTGGTGCATAAGCACACACAACAGTCAGAGTTTTCCTCTCTGCGATTTTAATTTGCATTTCGTCCACCGGGACAAACTCCAACTGCACGGCTGCCAGCCGGGGTCTCGTGAGTATCCCCACACCCGCCTGGCGCCTCTCACCCTGTGCAACCCCAGAGTAGGAGAGGGACCAAGCCCTATCAAGGAGTTTGGTTCCAGAGCCGACACTGTGGGTGGAGGTTAGCCCAACTATATCTAGTTGGTACCTCTCAACCTCCCGCACAAGCTCCGGCTCTTCCCCCCCAGTGAGGTTACATTCCACATACCAAGAGCCAGTTTCTGCCGCAGGGGCCTAGGCCACCAGGAGCCCCACTGCCTATACGGCACTGCACCGCTCCCCCATGCTGGACCTTGCGGGTGGTGGGCCTACATGGCCTCTCCATGTTGCCTCTTTGGGCTAAACCCAACCGGGTTACGTGGGCTGCCCGGCCACCAGGCGCTCGCCGGGGGACACTACCCCCAGGCCTTGGACTTCTGTGCCAGGCATGGATTGTCCATAACGAACACCAAGTTCGAACACAAGGATGTTCATAAGTGTACATGGTACCAGAGCTCTTTGGGTCATAGGTCAATGATCGACTTTGTTGTCATTTCATCTGACTTGGGACCATATGTTCTGGACACTCGGGTGAAGAGAAGTGCTGAGCTGGCAACTGATCACCATTTGGTGGTGAGTTGGAGCAGATGGCAGGGAAGACCGATGGTCAGACCCAGTAGGCCCAAGAGAATAGTGAGGGTGTGCTGGGAACGTCTGTCGGAGCCCCCTGTTCGGAAAGATTTTAACTCCCACCTCCGGGAGAGCTTTTCTCATGTCCCGGAGGAGGTAGGGGACATGGAGTCTGAAAGGACCCTGTTCAAAGCCTCCATTGTGGAAGCTGCCAGATGTAGCTGTGGCCAAAAGCTTGTTGGTGCCTTTCAGGGCAGTAACCCAAGAACCCCCTGGTGGACACCAGGGGTGAGGGAGGCCGTCAAGCTGAAGAAAGAGTACTTTAGGGACTGGATGGCCCGAAGGACTCCCAACTCAGCAGATAGGTACCAACAGGCAAAAAAGGTGGCAGCCGCAATGGTGGCAGAAGCAAAATCCAGGGCATGGGAGGAGTTTGGAGAAGCCATGGAAAAAGACTTTCGGTCGGCCTTAAAGAGGTTCTGGATGACTGTCCAGTGACTCAGGAGCGGTCGGGGTGGCTGCACCCAAGATGTATTTGGCAGGGGTGGGGAAGCTCTGACTTCAAATGAGGATATTGTCGATCGGTGGAAGGAGCACTTTGAGGAACTCCTTAATCTGGGAGACATGCCTCCCTCACGGGAGTCAGGGCCAGAGGCTTCTGGCGTGACAAGCTCCATTTCCCTGGTAAAGGTCACTGAGGTAGTTGGCATGGAAATTTGCCAACCCTGTCTACATGTGTTTTGTGGATTTGGAGAAGGCATATGACCGTGTTCCCCGAGATATCTTGTGGGAGGTCCTCCAGGAGTATGGGGTGCCGGGGCTGCTACTCCGGGCCATTCAACCTCTGTTTGTGCCCTGTCTCCACTCCTGTTCGTGATATTCATGGACAGGGTGTCAAGGCATCACTGTGGTCAGGAGGGCATTATGTGTGGAGGCCGGAGGGCGGCGTCTCTGCAATTTGCAGACAATGTTGTTCTTTTGGCTTGGTCACATCAATGCCTCCAGCGCACACTGGAGCAGCTTGCAACCTCCAAATCTGAGTCCATGGTCTTAACCCGGAAAAGGATGGTATGCCCACTCCAGGTAAGGAGTGGGCATAACATCACCTATGGTCATGAGCTAAGGGGAAAGGACTTGCCCCAGGTGGAGGAGTTTAAGTATCTCGGGGTCTTGTTCACAAGTGATGGGAAGAGGGATCGTGAGATCGACCGCAGGCTGGGACAGGCGGCAGCAGTAATGTCGTCGCTGTACCGGACTGTAGTAGTGAAGAGGGAGCTGAGCCGCAAGGCTCTCTGTTTACCAGTCGGTCTACATCCCGACCCTCACCTATGGTCATGAGCTATGGGTAATGACCAAAAGAATGAGATTGTGAATACAAGTGGCAGAAATGAGCTTTCTTCGCAGGGTGGCAGGCTACACTGTGTTTGATAGGGTGAGGAGCTCAGCCATCCGGGAGGAGCTCGGAGTAGAGCCGTTACTCCTCCACATTGAGAGGAGCCAGCGGAGGTGGTTCGGGCATCTGATCCGGATGCCCCCTGGACGCCTCCCAGTCGGGGTGTACCAGGCATGGCCTCCCGGGACAAGACCCCGGGGTCGTCCTAGGACCCGCTGGAGGGATTATATCTCCAGGTTGGCCTGGGAGCGGCTTGGGGTCCCCAGGAATGAGCTGGAGGAAGTTGCGGGGGACAGGGTCGTCTGGGATTCTCTGCTCTCCCAACTGCTACCGCGACCCTAGCTGGACTAAGCGGTTAACGATGATGATGATGATTATGGCTTGTCTCATTGCATGCATCTCACTGCCATTTGCAACTGGTGTAGACAGCTTTACTGATTCCAGTGGGAGCATGTTGGTTTTGTTGGTGCTCTCTTGCTGTTAGGACAAGATGTGAGGGGTCAGAAGACCTCAGTCTTTATGTACATACAGTGGTTATGCACTTACAGTGGTGAAAAGCCCAATACTGCTATTAGTATGTTGCCATCATGGTGCTGCATAGGCCTCATGTATCATTAAAAAAAAAAAAAAAATCATTGAAAAAAGGTAGCCAGGTAGGGGCCCTACAAATATCTGTGCCCATGGGGCAATAACTTAATGATCTGGGCCTGGGCATGACCCCTGTAACTACTTCTTTTACAATGTTAATTTTGTCATCATACACTTCCCCTGAAACAATGCAGTCATTTGTAAGAAGCTGTTCATTGTGAAAAAATGAATCTTAAACGGCCCTTACCGTTATAGCACACAAATCCAAATTTGTAGAAACAGGGAATATCAAACCACCCTCCTGTTCCAGACATGTATACGCACAACTCTTTTCCCTCGTAGTTGTCAGGTTCACGAAACCATCCTCTGTAATCTCTCTCTCCCTCCATGTAGAAACTATCATTATCCAGAGACCACCTCCAGCTGTCCAGATCATCATACAGTCCAATCCAGGCTAAACCAGAGTAGCTGCCATTTACTGTGTTAATGAGCATATCCATTTCCTCCATGTTTTCAATGGTGGCTAGGTCAGTGTAATGCTCTCTGCAGTAACTCTGTGCTTCAGTCCAGTTCTTACTCTCATTAACAAAGTGATACTGACGAGATGATATTGCTAAAGCAGCAGAAAGAATAAGAAAAGTCATCCTTTATCCATTGGTGCTTTGCTCATAAATAAAGGGAACACTTTATATGGATAGCCTACTATAGCAGCTTATTTTGCCTTTCACCTAACCCAGGACCAAATCCTAAAATTGTGGACAATTTGTAGATAATCAAGAGGTCATCCAAACAATGTGGGACCTAATAAAGTAATATTAGTGAGGGTATATTGTTACTATGAAAAGTTTCCACTCTACTCGACTCTACTCACCACTGTAGCAGAGAAAAGGAAAGACCTGATTGCAGTTTTCATCAGTCCATTGGCCAAAGTCATCAAATGACACAGCTGTACAGTATTCATTCTCCCCAGCATTATCTGGTTGTCCTGGTTTCCAGTTGCCGAAAGAAGAGTTGCTCCTATCTGACCAAGACCTGGTCCTGTACAGGCCGATCCAAAAACGTGAATTATAATACTTAAGTAATGATTTTATCTCCTGGTTCTCAGTGTCGTTCCTCACACTGACCAGGTCTGTGTGATTGTCTCTGCAGTAAGTCTGAGCTTCAGTCCAGGTCAGGTACTCAGAAGGCACAACATATCTTTCACTGGCACCCTCCCTCCCTAAAATGAAAAAGATTGCAATATTAAACATTTTTGAAGGAAAAGTTACTTTAGTCATTTGTTTCTAAGCTGTAGTATTTGTCCTTAAATTGATACCAAGGCTTTGCTCACCATTATAGCAAATGAATCTTAAGTTAGAGTTGCAAGGGTACTCATACCATGTGCCATCCAAATCTGAAAAGTACACACATAGCCTGTTTCCACCTGGGTTCTTAGGTTTCATTATGAACCAGTTTCTAAAGTTCCTCTCATTCTCCTTGTAGAAACCATCTTCATCCAGAGACCATCTCCAGCTGTTCAGGTCATCATACAGTCCGATCCAGGCTAAACCAGAGTAACTACTACCTACTGTCATAATGACCCTGTTTACCTCCTCCACATTATCAAAGGTGGCCAGGTCAGTGTAATTCTCTCTGCAGTACCTCTGTGCTGCTGCCCAGGTCTTTGGCTCATTAATAAAGTGATACTGATGAGGGACACATGAGGATCCTGCGCAGGACTCTATATGTTTAAAGAAAAGGAGAATGTATCACTTCTGAATTTGGAAGCAGCAATTCTGTTGTTCTGTTGGAAAAATTAAACTGACGAGAGAAGAACTCACTGTTGTAGCACACAAAAGGCAGTGTGGCTAAGCAGTTTTCATCAGTCCACTGGCCTGAATCGCTGAATGATATAGCGGTACAGTGCTGATTACAGTATGCTCCCATAACAGTCAAACCATTGTCAGGTTCTTCAGGCACATCATAGAGGTCTGGTCTCCAGTTTTCATATGAAGAATTGTGCTGATCTGACCAGAGTCTGGTTCTATATAGACCAATCCATACCTCAGAGCCACCTGCAATATTGGCAATTCTCTGATTTTCTGTCATGTTCCTCACACTGGCCAGGTCTGTGTGATTATTTCTGCAGTAATGCTGGGCATCTGGCCAAGACATTTGCTTGTGAATCATGATGTAACTTTTAGTCTTTCCTAAAAAAAATATCAGTGATATGATCAACGTCTAAAGAATAGGGAAATAAAAAAAAAAAAAAAAATACATTAATGTTAATAAAAAATCTTACCATCATAGCAAATAAACTTATAATTTGAGATACATAGCATGTCAAACCACGTCCCAGAAAAACTCATACAAGCACACAGCTCATTTCCATCATTGTTGTCAGGCTGCTGGTACCACCCTCTGTAATCTCTCTCTCCCTCCTTGTAGAAACTATCATTATCCAGAGACCATCTCCAGCCATCCAGATCATCATACAGTCCAATCCAGGCTAAACCAGAGTAGCTGCCATTTACTGTGTTAATGAGCATGTTCATTTCCTCCATGTTATCTATGGTGGCCAGGTCAGTGTAATACTCTCTGCAGTAACTCTGTGCCTCAGTCCAGTTCTTACTCTCATTAACAAAGTGATACTGACGAACAGATGTGGGTGATGTTGCTAGAGAAATACAAATCACGTGATGAGAATGATGTTTGGTGACACTTTATTTTGAGTGATTCTTTAAATGAAACCAACACTTAAGTAAGTAAATGCAGTATAAGCAAACTAAAACCTTTATTGAACAAAATCCCATATGTTAAAATTCTTGGCACCCTTGCATTTAGTATTTATGTCTTCTCCTGTATTACTTGACAAGATTGGAAAATACAAAGCAAGCAATCAGAGACCACTCCACAATGCAGAATCATCAATACTGGAAGATCCAACCATGACCCAGTTTTAGCATTTTGGCAGAGGCAGCTAGATTTTCTTTTAGAATCTACTGTCACTTCATGTAGCTCATGGCCATATCTTATCAAATTTCCCAGGGCCTCTGGAGAATGAGGTGGCATGTAATTTTGTAAAAGTTTTTTCTTTCTATTATATTATTAGTATGAGATTGAATTCATTAATCACACATTTTTTCATGACCATTTTTACCCATCTATGCCTCTATGCCAATACGCTAAAGGCAGAGCCATCCCGACGCATAAGCAAACTAAGCAGCCACCAGAGGGTCCCCAGGAGTGATTGAATTTCCCACAAGAGAGCATGTTTTGTTTTTTGTTTTTTGGTGGGGCAGGGCTATATTGTATTATGTAAATGGTATCATACAAAAATGCAATACTATGTTAAAGGGCTGGCAAGCTAGTACTATTGTTTTTTATCAAATCCCACTGCCTCTGTCAGAGCTGGTGTCACCCCTGCTGAAAAAGGACCATTAGAATCCATTAGGACTAAAACCTGTTTTGAAATGTGAATTGGCTTAATGGTTTCCAATAGAGACTGCTAGTTTCCTGTAGAACACATTCCTATTAAAAAAAACATCAGATGAATTTAGAACCAGCCATTGGTCACCTGTTGAACCATTACAGTTCTTTACACTGTGATATCAACCCATTAAAAAAGCCAAAGCACATAACAAAACCATCAGGAACCAGCAGAAATACTTAATAGGGACTACAGTGTAACGGATGCAAGCACACTCAGTCAGATATTTGATGGAAGAGGTAGCTGCATAAAAAAAAACAGTGTCAGAAAAAAGGACATCATTCTTGTGCAGAGAAATAAAAGAAGAAGAAACTAGAGGAAGAGAAAGAAAACAAGATACATTTATGTTTGCATGACAAATTATAGTATCTTACCATGTATCCCACAAGCCTTCAATTCAGTCAAGGTATGTCAAGCAAACATTAGCTAGCTGGCTATCATTTCAATCTAATATTAGCCAACACAAGACAACAGTAGCTAGATTCCCTCTGTTAAAACTGAACTTTCTCTTGCTATTATACATATTGCCAGGTGGATGTAAGATGTCAAGTCTGTTTAGATTATGTTTAATCAAGCATGAACTTTCCTATATGCTGGCTACGCTATGTTGTAAGCTAACATTAGCTAGCTAGTTAGGTACAAACATAGCATATCTTGTCTCAGAAAAGTTGATTGTTGGCATTGTAATAGATGATATCATATTATTCAGCTAGTTATAGATTAAAGGTTTCTGTGTAAAAATAACTTGCTGCTGGGTATATAATTTCTGTAATGAAAATTAGCTTCTGTTCCATACACTTGGTACTGATAACAGCCTAAAATTATTTACATTACCATTTTTTTTAGATCATTATGCCTCAATGAGCTAGTTAAAGATATAGAGTTTTTGTTGTAGGCTTATAAATGGCTTGCTGAGTACAATAATTTAGGATGGGAAAATAAATTCTTTAGTTTGGGAAAATAAATAAATTCTAATAAATAAAAAAATAAACAACTATGTACTCATACTACATGAAATTTCCCCAGAAGTGCTGTTTAAGTATTTTGGCGCTGGAGCGAATTAACACCAGACCACTCTTGTGAGTTTGCTACCTTTTAAGATTAAAAACCATTGAAGGGTAAAAACATGCCAGGTTGACATTGATATGATGGAAGCAACACAACTGCAGCTAATAACTTTGATAATGTGTGTGTTAGATTTACAGTGTGTGAATGATCAAGCATTGACAATAGTCAATAGGATTGGCAGTGTTGAGGCAGAGGAGGCCCTCAAATCAAATTCTGCTTGGGGCCCCATGAAGGCTTGGGCCAGCTTTGACCAAGAGTGCCAGTAATTATGGAGCTGACCTTATTTGCATAAGCATCATTTTTACCCATTAAGAAATACTGTCAGGTCTAACATAATAAGGTAAAATTGTCCACTCACCATTGTAGCAGAAAAATGGCATAGTAAGAATGCAGTTTTCAGTGGTCCATTGGCCAAAGTCATCAAATGACACAGCTATACAGTATTCCCTCTGTCCAAGGTTATCTGGTTGCCCTGGTTTCCAGTTGCTGAAAGAAGAGTTGCTTTTATCTGACCAAGACCTGGTTCTATACAGGCCGATCCATGCGGTCATGATATAACGGGTTAATGATTTTAATAAGATGATGATTTCCTGGTGCTCAGTCTCGTTCCTTATACTGACGAGGTCTGTGTAATGTTCTCTGCAGTATGTCTGAGCTTCAGTCCAGTTCATTTGTGAATAAATCACAACATATCTTTCACTGGCATTTTCACGTCCTAAGAAAAACAAATGCAACAAATACAAAAATGCCTAATAAATCTCTCAGACTGCCAGATGGTGAAGCATGATTAATCACTGCAGAGAATGCATCCCTACTACTCTGATGTCTAATGGTAACATGAATTAGACCACTCTAGCTGACACTTCACATTATACATACTGATCTTATGCTTAGGCTTCGCCACTTGTCTGTCCTTTTCTGTAAGCTTGTGTGGCCCATTGCCTTATGGCCGAATTGTTGTCGTTCCTAGACATTTGATCTTCACAACAACAGCACTTGCATTTGACCTGGTCATAGGTGGCAGGGCAGACATTAGATGAACTGCCATTGTTTTTCTATGGAGATTATACATATTTTTGCATGATTTTATATGTCTGTTAGCAACAAGTGTGGCTGAAATTGCCAAACCCACTAATTAGAAGGGATTTCCATAAACTTTTGGCCATGTAGTCTATATGTGATATAGTTTTGCTTACCATCATAACATATAGGTAGCAGTGCTGAAAAGCATGGTTCTTCATTCCATGTCATATCATAGGTTGTAATAGAGGTACAGAAGCTGTTCCCGTACCAGTTTACAGGTTTCTGTATGTGCCAGTTTCTGAACTTTCTCTCATCCCCCTTGTAGAAGTCATCATCCTCCAGAGACCATTTCCAGCTGTTCAGATCGTCATACAGGCCAATCCACGTTGGGACACTCTTCCTGATGTCTACTAAGCTAATAAGCTGCAGCGCTTCTTCAACGCTATCAATGCTTGCTAAGTCGACATAATGCTCTCTGCAGTAACTCTGTGCTTCATACCAGGTCTTGCTCTCATTCACAAAGTGATACTGACGAGGAAGACAAACTCCAAGGGTGCAAAACCCTGTTAAAGACACAAAGTCACTTTTGCATCTTGAACATGTTAAAGGTACAGTACACAATTTCAATACAATGAATTTTTTGTCAAATTCAGCAAATAACTCTTCACGATCCACTAGCTGTCCGTTCTGTGTGTGCGCTGGAAAAAAATCCAGTGTTTGTACATAGCTTTGGCTCTGTAAATGGGAAACAATGTGGCTTGGGCCGAGCCACACAACACTATTCCAATCAGCAACAGGGGGAATGTGTGCTTGTGCACATGACAGGGAGAAGGAGATGGGCTACGTCCTGAACTCACCACATTGTCAAGAAGGAGAGATGGCTGAGAAACAGCAAAAGAGTACAAAATCTGAAGAACAAAGAATATGAAAGAAGTTCTTAGATCAGGCAAGGGTGTTTCAACGGTGGAGAGACCCTGAGAGTTGACGGTGAGGTGTTTCAACAGTGAAGACACCTCAGAGGGTTTATGAGGCTGAAGTTGGCTTCCTATTCATATTTTTCCTTCCACCTTAAATGGTGCAGCAGTTATAGCCCAGAATGGAACTGCTGCAAAATGTAAGGTGGAATGGGAAAATTCCAACAAGGAAGACTTCAGCTTCATTGAAAGTTGGAAGGCATGAAAAGGGATAAGAAGGTTGCTCTGCTTCTGCTTGACAGGTGAGTAACATTCATTTATTTTTGCAGTTTCACAGAACCAAAAGGTCAGTACTGTTTTGTCCCATTTACTAGTGTTTGTGATAGCAACTGGTTAGCTTTGCAGCAGCAATTGTAGCCACAGTTAGCTAACCCACAACCTAGCTAGCGTTAGTTACATTATTTATTGTGTTATTGTTCACTCTAACAGTATATAATGATATTCGTCCGTACAACATTTGTGGAGAGATTTATTGCCACAAATATCTAAAAGTTCGCTAGCCCAGTGTCATTCGCCTTGGCAATACACATCCAGGAATTCGAGGGGCGGAGCTTCTGAAGCAGACCTGGATGGAGAGGAGTATTTGTTGTGCTGTTGAGCTCAAATTTTAAGAATCCTGTACTGCACCTTTAATGCATAGTGTTAATTTAGCAATCCAATAGCAGGCACATAGACCACTTTTTATATCATATAACATGCTTGACTTGTTGAGACCCTTAGTGACCACCTAGAGAAATGGAGATACATAGCATAACAGAGCATAGTTTTTAAATGTTACCAAGATTAAACATGCTTTCCTGAACAGAAGACATTTTGGTAACACTTTGTTTGAGATTCTGCTTCTTAACAATTACTAAAGTATTAGCAAGCAATTATTAATAAAACTTTCAGAAACAAGCATACTTGAAATGTCTTTATGTAATGTGTTAATCAAAGCACATAAACATAATAATTATCTGAATTCACAAAGAATAAATTCAATTGCATGAGACTTTATTTGCAAGACAGAATATTTAAAAGAAAATCAAATTATCCAAAACATTTGTTCATAAGCTTTTAATAATGTTAGTCAAGCACAACTTCATATGACATTTTTGAGTAGAAACGGCCTGAAGCTATCCGAGTCCAAGAGAGCAAAATTGGCCTTGCTCTCTCTAGGAGTATGAGTGTCTAATAGAGTGGACAGTGAGTGGACACAGTGTTTAAAAACTCCAGCAGCACTGCTGTGTCTGATCCACTCAGACCAGCGCAACACACACTAACACACCACCACCACAACACTGCAGTGTTGAGAATGATCCACCATCCAAATAATACCTGCTGTGTGGTGGTCCTGTGGGGTCCTGGCCATTAAAGAACAGGGTAAAAGGGGGCTAACAAAGTATGCAGAGAAACAGATGGACTACAGTCTGTAACTGTAGAACTACAAAGTGCACCTATATAGTAAGTGGAGCTGATAAAATGGACAATGAGTGTAGAAATAAGGATGTGCACTTAATGAAGTGGCCAGTCGGTGTGTATTTTCACTTTAAAATTGAAGATTAATAGTTATTTCTAAATAGAAACTACAGAAACCACAAATGTCTGCTGTAGCATCCATATCCCTGGGTGACGTGTGCGTGCAAAGAGGAGTCGGAATCCGGTACAGCACCTGTTGTCTAGAATGCCTGCCCATAGAAGCTGAAGTTTTGTTTATTTTTATTGTTTGTAATAGAAGCATTACGAAACACTTAGCCAATGTTAAACTAAACAAGCAAAATTTGGACTTGACTGATCAAATGCTGATATGAGATAAGTGGAAAATTGAATACATTTCATTTTTTGCAGAACTATTCCTGAAATATTTCTGTGTACTGTCTAAACAAGGTCTCACTAAGCTGAACATTAATACTGGATTAAAAAAAAAAAAATCAATGAAATGTTACCTTAACAGTAAAAATTCTACCTGCTGAATTAGTGATTAGGAATCAGTGATTACTTGGCAGTAATAATCAAAGAATTTTGATTGCCGTTCAAACAGAAAGTGTGAAGATTTTCCACAAGGGGGAGCTATAAGCACTCAGGTGTCTTTCTTATGCATCATTGACTTAAAGGAAACAGCAGGAGGATCTTATGAATGCAGTTACAGATTGTACAGATATCATGTAAAAGGCCCCAAAGCACACTAAACATACCCTAGGTAAGAATGTGGTTTTGTTTCAGAACTACTTGTTGTCAGTAGCATTTTCACAATGATATGATTATATGAATATATTTAAGGCTTAGTTTACTTTTTTCCAGTGTGTTTTGGAATCTCTGTAAAGTGAAGCTTAGTTTGTTATTGTTCAGTTAAGTCTACTTTTTGGCCTTTAAAAAGTTATATTACTTGATTAATGGTGAAAATAATGGGGAGAATGTTTGATTTGACATAAGTGTTGGTGACAGCTGGTAGCAGGGGGCAATATGATACTTTATTGTTATCATTATAATTTACATCACAATATGTTTTTCTGAGCATATTGTGGATATCATCAGTACTTAAAGAACAATGAAACACTGAACTGCATTCATCATTACAAAGAGAGCATATTTAGATATTTAGAGGGGGCGACTGTGCCCCACGGTGCCCCCACTGTTGAAAAAGTGTCACTAAAATGCCCTCTAAAATCGTGAAATGCCCTACTGGGGATGAATACTATATCATCACACATGATGCATCAAAGCATTTTTCAGCATTGGCGGAGCCCCATGTCATGCAGTAGGTTCCTTTTTACTCTTTTTTATATGCATTGAGAAGACACAATTGATTTTAGAAGCATTAACTATTGTTGTACATGAGACATTCTACCAGAAACCTATGGTCCCACTTTCTATTAATTATCTCTAATAACTGTGTAGTTACATGAGTCACATATGCAACAACCATGTAACTAATGATGATTTAGTCAGTGTTACAGATGGATTACAGAAGTACAGCCTATGTAATTACACATATGTGTCAACTGTCAGTTTTGCCTCATGTAATTACACAAGCGTATCTTTTTGATATGCTACAGATCAGAAGTCTTTTTCAGCAGTTAAAGGAAGTATGTTTTACATAACATTACATTTATTTTACATAATTACTGTGGAATAACTGTGTTGTAACAAGGTCACCTAATTACATCACATTGTTTAATACTATTCTGTAATTACACTGTACCTACATACCAACTACACAGGAACTGTCCTGTAGTGCAGTGTTAAAGTTACACTTTAAAATAAGTGGACAGTTCCTGTGTAATTGATATGTAGGTACTGTGCAATAATGGAGTGGTAATATAGATGTTGATTTGGGGAAATGCAACATGTTTAATTAATGTCATTAAAGTCACATGTTAATATAAGTGGGCGTCTGCTGTTCTGTCACATTACAGTTGAAACTGGTTACAGTGTCATAGCACTAGCAACATAAATGCTAGCTAAATTTTAGGAAAGCTGGCAGATACAGTGTAAGTAATGCCTTAATGTAAGTTATTACATCCTTCCTTTTACTGCTGGAAAAGACTTATGAAAACTGCTGTTCCAGTCTGATTACAAATGTAAATACATGTGTTATTACCTATGTGTAATTACATGAGAGAGAATAGGCTTTTACAGCTATTAAGATACACTTGTGTACTTACATGAGGCAAAACTTAAGTTGATACATGTGTGTAATTACATAAGGAGTACTTCTGTAATCCACTGTAACAGTGACTAAATCATTAGTAGTTACAATGCTGTTGCATATGTTGTTCACATATAACTACAGAGTTATTAGAGACACTTAAAATAAAGTGCGACCAAACATACATTTCCACTTCCAAAAATCTTGGGGGGGGGTGGTTGAGTCATATGGAGGACATGTTGAACTATGAGAAACACATATGTCGTCTCAGCATGTATCAATGCTTGAATGAAATACATTTTGTTCACATTTCATTCTTGAAATGTCAGGTCCTGCCACAGACAAATTTGTACATGTTAGAATGAATTTCTAATGAATTTCTTTGACACAAATAGCATTTGCTTATTGATCAAATGTCCCTGATTGTTCCTAACATGATTTTGTAATTCCTATAAGAAATTTAAGTAAAATTTTGGTGAACTGTAGCGGATGATGAGCACAGAATAACTGCTAGACACTCATGTAATTGTATAAAACCTAGATGCAAAGGTAATGTTTTACAAAAATGTAATGGTGGATATATACCCCCACCTTTATCTGCACAGTAAAACAGATTAATTCACCAATATTTTCTTAAGTAGTCAGTTTTTATATTATAATGTCCTGTGTGACACTGCCTTTGTTTAGCCTATTAACATGCTAGCATCAAAGCTGCTGTTAGCATACAAGCAAGAAATTTCAGAAAACTTTTTAAGACATTTTTTGGATTTACAACAACTCCTTTCCTTTCTGGGATATTTTAGCATGACAGGGCCTGTTTTTGACTTGTTTTTACCATATAAAAAAGAAAGTAGTCATATATGAGTTAAGAGCTCTCAGGTTGTCAGGAAGAACGTTTTAGAAATTAGGGCCATAACAGGAAAAGGTTGCCTCACCACTTTTAAGTCGGGCAGCAAGTATGACCAACATATTTCTGTTGGCTGACCTGAGAGCTTGTGACGGAATGTACTTAATAATCAGATCACCGATTAAGGTGACGAAGGTACAGTGGAAAACAACTATGTAAACTGGAGATAAATGTAGATAAAGCTCTTTGATAGACCCAAAAAAAATAAAAAATTACAGTAATCCAGGTGTGATGACACGCAAACGTGTAGAAGATTCTCACTATCAGCTAATGAAAAAATACTGCAGACCTTGAATATATTTCTGTTTTAGCACCTCTGCCCCAGGTATACTTTTGAACTCTGCGAAATGTAGCAGGTTGGCTGTGGGCTGGAAAATTAAAACTTCCATCTCTTTACAACAGGTATCAAGCGCTTCTAACACGTGGAGAGTAATGTAGCTGCTTCCCCTGATCCTCACAATTCTTTTCCACTGTTTTGGACTAATATTGCTAAGATCAATAGATCTTTGATGGCCTCCTAAAACCTGCTCTCTCAATCCTCTACTGACCATCTTAACTAAAGCCTGTCTACCTTTTTGGTTCCTCAAAGCTTGTTAATAAATCACTGCTTCTTGGCCAGTTCCCCACTGCCAATAACTTTGTGATGTTACACCTATTCTTAAAAACCCAGCCACAATCCAACTAATTGGGATCTCCACCACCCTATTGCTAAATTTTCCATCTCTCTCCAAAACTCTGGAACGAGTTGTTGCTAATGAACTTAAGACTCAATAAGAAAGCAGTAATATTTTTGAACCTTTCCAGTCTGAATTCCCTCAGTACCACAGCAGTGAAACTTTCGTGACTAAGGTTATCAGTGATCTTCATCCACACATACTGGAGCAATTAGATCTGAGCACAGACATTGACGCTGTGTGTCATTCCAGGCATTGTTGGCTCTGCACTGCACTGGTTCACCTCTTATCTCACTCATAGCAGTTTATTTCTCTTTCTGGCTTTATTTCCATTGTTCGTCAAGTTGTCCCATAGGGTTCAGACCCTCTGATCTTCATTAGTTCCCCCTGGACAGATCATACAATGTTTTAAACTGGACTTTCAATGCTGTGTGGATGACAAACTCAGATTAAGACTGAACTCCTCCTCATTGGCTCTTAATCAACTCTCAACAAACATGGCTCTGTAACTCTCTCAGTTGATGATGTCGTAGTCTCCCCTTCTCCTCAGGTTAGAAATTTGAGTGTTATCTTTGATCCAACTCTTTCATTCAATGCCCACGTCATCTCAGTTGAATTTTCTTTTTTTTCACCTGCAGAATATAGCCAAAATTCGAGCATTCCTTTCTCAGCCTGCTGATGTATCTCTACAAACATGCTTCCATCTTTTGTCATTTGAACTGTCGTAATTCTCTACAGGCATTGGCTCTTCTTCCTTTCACAAGCTTCAGATGGTCCAGGACTGCTCATCTTCTTACTCATACTTGCTCTAATACACCTGTTCTCCATGATCTCCACTGGAGTCCTAAAAAGTACTGCATTCAAACTAGTTTTGTCTTCTTCTCTATAAACCCATTTACTTACCCATTTATGATTTACTAACCATTCTTCCATTCACACTGGATGGCTTTGGTGATCAAACCTTTGCTAGATTTGCTCCTCATCCCTGGAACTCTCTTCCTCCACAAATCTGGCAGTCTAACTCTCTTTCCATATTTAAATTTAATCTCAACACCCATCTCTTCTTTCTAGCCTACATTATGCCACCTACCTACACCAACATTCTCATTACAGCTCTACCTTATCTTCTTTTCTATTGTTTACTTCTGTATTTGTCTTCTGGTCTTCTCTGTTTTGTTAGAATGTTAGGTGTGTTTGGGTTCTTGAAAAGTGCTATATAAGTATGTATTGTTCTTCTTCTTATTATTTTCCATCTTCTTCATCTTATTATTATTATGTCCAGAAAACCTGTTAAAAATTAACTCCCAAACCTTATTGCAAAATACAATAAAATGCTGTAATTTCAGAAAATGGTGTTGTAAATTGTAAGTTACTGTAAAATTACAGTGCTTACGCACCTGGGTCATTCTACAGAAGTGTCCACATTTTTTTTATCACTCCATAGGAGTCACTGGTGTTGCCAATCCTCATTAATGTGACTCATAAGAAAGGTAACACCAGAGACATTTTTAATGAAAAATGCATTTTACAAAATGGCTGCTGCAGAGTATCAAACCACATGTTTTCAATCATAGAATATCCACAAAAATATGTAATTTAATCCATTTGTATTCTATTTTTTTCACAATTACCTCAGAATAAAGTCGGTCACACCAGTGACTTCAGCTAAGAGCTTCATATGAAATCATGAGCTAAATGAGAAAATCTCTGATAACTGAAAGACACAGTGGACTCACCATGTGCTTTTCTTCATAGACCCTCAGAAAACAGGTAAAAGGAAGTCGTGATGTTATCAGTGTGATTTTTATTTCAAAATAAGAGATTTTTTGTTACGCAGTAACACCGGTGACAACTTTCTTTATATATTTTATAATATTTGTTTGACATTTGTTTTCTTTATGTCATTTAAATCATATCTTTCATAGTCATGTATAGATTATTGCAGTTAAAATTGCAGAAAAACATGTTTTTTACCTCAAAATATGGCCTCACCCTTTACATATGACTGTGAAGATGAGCTCTTCTGTGGAATTCTATATAATTGATTTAAAAACCAGTATTGCTATATTGATGGATCAAGAGGGTGTAATTGTTAAAATAATAAATTGTAACCGTAACATGTTTTTCAAGTGTAATATATCTGTAAACACTAGGAACATCAAAATGGATGTTTCTGTAGAACGACCTACTTGCAATTTATTAAACATGACCACTGACTAGCCTGTTCAGTCATAGTGAATTCAGATGATTTTTATCTGTTCATATTCTTTACTTAAGATGTCACAAAATAACATTTCAGGTATTAATTACTATTTAACTCATTAGTTGGACCATATTAACACATCTTATGAATACATTTATACCACATTTCAAAGCTTGCTGACAAATTATGCATTCATGTTTACTAGGGCATTATTGCTTGCTGATAGTTAATTCATTGTTAAGAAGCAGACCGTAATATAAAGTATAACTTACATTTTCTTTTTCACAGACCACTGGCCATAAACAGGACAGAGAAATGATAAAATCAAATGAAATAAAGCATCATAGTTTGGGTCTTTGGAAACTTCCAGAAGACAGAATGTCAACTTTTGTTATACTGAGCAAGTTTTGAAATAGACCTGGAAAACCAGCTCTAAAACAAAAAGAAAATGAATTATTTATCTGTTTAAAGATATACATAAAATTTAGTCTCACAAGTCTGACATGCGAAAAAAGAAAACATGAGAAATAAAAAGCAGATTACTGACCTAAAAGCAGCAACAGCTGAAGCATGGTTCTGTTCAAATATAGAGAAATAATCGACGATTAACATAAAAATATAGGAAATATATGTTACATGGACATATTTAACTATACCACTAAAACTGTCTCAGTAGAGGTGATATAATTAATATCAATTTAAATATTCTTTATAAAACATTACTCTTACCTTATAGATTTGTGTCTGTCTCCACTCTTCTCCTGTCTGATATGTTTAAACATTAACAACTCTGCTGAAATAGAGCAACAGATTTCTAGAAATTCCAGTTTTACAGAAATCTGAGTTTGCATTCATAAAGCTTCTTACACTGAGAATGTTGATCTAGGATAAGATTACTTCCTTATTCATGATGGCTTTTCTGATAGGACTTCTACCTTAAGAGACTTTATAAAGACAGGCTTAGATCATACAGGTTTCAGCAAGAAGCCAATCTGCAAGATCAGATAATTATCTCATCCAAAATCAAGACGTTGTATGAAATAAAAGTAGAAGAAATATATATGTAACTGAAAGGACTTCATGACTTGAGAATGCAGGCAAATTTTAAAGTCTACCTCTTTGAAGACTTGTTTGATTTATTAAAGGCCTGCACAGATCTGTCAGCACCTGGCTTGATACAGTGTATGATGAGTAGATTGTCTAACTTGTGTCTATAGATATATAAACATATGGTCTGTGCTTAGGTTCTGTGGTTTTCTTAAGTCTGCACTTTGGCAATGTCAATATGCATCTTAGGGCAAAAGTTCTTGAGGGTGCTCGGTCTAAAAGTGTGAGCATTTGGGACAGGCTTATGTGATGTCCAGGCTATGCATGTACTGTTATTAATTTTATTAATAACTGAGCAAAAGTGATGGTTCTGGTAAAATATAAGGAAAAAAAAAACAATGGAGAATCAAACTTGTTTAATTAAAAGCATAACACAGCTGAATTACAAGTTAACTATTTTGCCACTGTTAAAGTGTTGTAGTGCTCATGCCGGCGAGATCAGCAGATAGGCAACAGGTTCTTCCAAATAAAAAACTGAAACAAATAAAATATGCATTACAAAATTCTTGTGTGTTGAGTTCACCTTGCCAGACATATTATAAAGTAATATTATACTTAGTACAAAAGATCTAGCATGTAAAAATGTAAATAATCACCATTACATTAACAGTGTTTAGCTTGATGCTAATATGAATGGAAATACCGACAGACACACTGGCAAATTAGCCCCATTTTCTATTATATAAAGTCACAGTGATAACACAAATCATAATTTTTACATAAGAAGGTATGTAAGTAAATATCTGGTGAAGAACACAAGAATATGTGCTCACAGACATATTTTTTAAAGTGTAACAATAGAAGTTTAACTCTATTATTGCTACTCTGCAGCATCTACTACAATCTCATTTCCAAAAAAGTTGTGACGCTGTGCAAAATGTAAATAAAAAACAAATCATTTAATCCCTATATTTCTTTGAAAAAAGTACAAAAAAGACAACATATTAAATGTTAAAAATGAGAATTTGTTTGCTTTAAATTTGCCCATTTTAAATTTGATCCCAACAACACATTCAAAAAAATTGGGACGGGGGCAACAAAAGGCTGGCAAAGTTGTGCAATGCTAAAAAAAACACATGGTATTTAATTGGCAACAGGTCAGTAACATGAGATCCCAGAGAGTTTTTCAGAAGTAAAGATGAGGAGGGGTTCACCACTTGTGAAAGACTGTATGAGCAAATAGTGCAACAATTAAAGAATAACATTTCTCAACATAAAATAGCAAAGAACTTTTGCTTTTCATCATCTACAATACATAATATCATTAAAAGATTAAGATAATCTGGAGAAATCTCTGTATGCAAGGGACTACACCAAAAAACAGTATTTTCTGGCTGTGATCTTTGGGCCCTCAGGTGGCACTGCATTAAAAACAGACATGATTCTGTAGTGGAAATCACTGCATGAGTTCAGAAACACTTCTGAAAACCACTGTCTCTAAACACAGTTTATCTCTGCATCTGCAAATGCAAGTTAAAACTCTAAAATTCCCAACCTTTCCAGAACATGTTGTTGGCATCAAATTCAAAACGGGCATATATTAAAAAAAAATAATAATATTTCTCAGTTTCAACATTTGATATGTTGTCTTTGTAGTATTTTCCTTTAAATATATGGTTTACATGATTATCATATAATTGCATCCTACAGTTGCATAATTGCATTTTTATTTACATTCTGCACAGTGTCCCAACTTTTTTGGATATGGGGTTGTAGATAAAGGAAATGTTAAACAATGAGACAAAAATATTTGACTTGGTCATTTATTTATTAAGGAAAGTATTACATATCTGTGAGTGGCAAAGGTATGTTAACCTTCAGTATTAGCAGATAATTTGAAGGTGAAATTTGATTCAGGTGTTTTCAAACAATAGGATGGCAATCAGGTGTGTGTGACCACCCTATTTTATTTAAAGAACAGGGATCTATTACTGTCTGATCTTCACAATACATGTTTGAGGAAGTGTATCACGGCACAAAAAAAGGAGATTTCTGAGGACATGAGAAGAAGATGACACCAAGAGCAAGGCATGTAATAGTCCCTGAGGTCAGAAAAGAACACAGGATAACTTCTAATCAAGTAAAGGCCCGTCTCACAGTGGCTATTGCTAATATTCTTGAGTTCACCATCAGGAGAACACTGAACAACAAAGGTGTGCATGGCAGGGTTGCAACGAGAAAGCCTCTGCTCTCCAAAAAGAACATTGCTGCCCATCTGCAGTTTGCTAAAGATTACATGGACAAACCAGGAGGGTATTGGAACAATGTTTTGTGGATGGACAAAACAGATCTTTTTGGTTTAAATGAAAACTGTTATATTTGGAGAAAAGAAAACACTGCATTCCAGCATAAAAACCTTATCCCATCTGTGAAACATGGTGGTGGTAGTATCATGGTTTGGGCCTGTTCTGCCGCATCTGGGCCAGGACGGGCTACCATCATTGATAAAGCAATGAACTCTGAATTATAACAGCAAATTCTAAAGGAAAATGGCAGGACATCTGTCTGTGAGCGGAAACTCAAGAGAATGTGGGTCATGCAGCAAGACAACGACCCTAAACACACAAGTCATTCTACCAAAGAATGTTTAAAGAAGAGTAAAGTTAATGTTTTGGAATGGCCAAGTCAAAGTCCTGACCTTAATCCTATAGAAATGTTGTGGAAGGACCTGAAGCAGCAGTTTATGGGTGGAAGCCCACCAACGTTACAGAGTTGAAGCTGTTTTGTACAGAGGGCTAAAATTCCATCAAGCCGATGTGCAGGACAAATCAAGAGTTACAGGAAATGTTTATTTGCAGTTATTGCAGCACAAGGGGGTCACACCAGATACTGAAAGCAAAGGTTCATATACTTTTGCCACTCACAGATATGAAATATTGGATCATTTTCCTCAATAAATAAATGACCATGTTTAATATTTTTGTATCATTTAATTTGGCTCAGGACAGAAATCTGATGAAGTTTTAAGTCAGAAATATAGAAAATCCTAAAGCGTTCACAAACTTCCAAGAACCACTGTAATATACAGTATAATATAGATTGTGTAATGTTTTCTGACTTTTTTCATCAACAATCTTGATTGTTTAACTTTTTTTTTTAGATATGTTATATATATAATATATTTTAGATATATTAATGTAAATCTATTTTATATTTTAAATTGTGTTGAAAAGCTCTTTGTTCATTATAATAACAAATATTATTATGAAAATGAATTAATATTTTAGAAGCCATTCATGCAGAAGTCCTGGTAGTTCCAAGAGTTCAGAAATGTTTTTATTAAATTTTAGAAACACTTCAGTGTTTGATTTGTGTCTTGTTGTGTTTGTGATAATTTTTTTCATATTTCCATATATAACTTCCAAATGTCCAGTATACTGGACACTGAATATTATAAGTATTTGGTATGTAGCAGAGAACATGTTTCATAAAACCAACATTATTTTACACCAAAAACTATTTTTCTACTAATTACATAAGTTGCTTCCACCCTTCCATGGAACAGCCAGAAGCCAGAATCCCCGGGGATAAGAGAGGGGCTCATTGTAAGACGTCCTTTGAGGACATAAATTTCCCTGCACCCCCTGATTGGTCCAGCTAGAAAGACTGGAAAGCCAGCAGGCTCCACAGGAGCAGGCTTCCACACAATGACCCCATCAGATCTCTGTCAAAACATTGGTTTCACTATAAAACTTCCCTGCATGACTTCTTAAAACACAGGCATGCAAGTCTAAATATACTCGATACATTGCAGATCTCTGATATTGCTTAATCTCTTAAAATCCCAGGCTTATAGCATACTAAGCCTTATTATTCAGTTACTACAGGGACTTCAGTGCAAACTGATTGAGCTATTCTTATAGAAGTTACAGAAGTGTGTAATAAAATTTTGGGTCCACCAGTGGGACCTGCCATGAAAGGGGTTAACTGTACATTCAAACTTTTGTCTATTGTCTTGTTTCTTCTTTATGGAGATGCCAGAAGACGTTAGAAGACTGGAGAACCAGGAGGCCTCACTGGAACTGCTTTCGCCAAAATGGCCCCTCCAGGTCTCTGTCACACCAATTTTTATTGTAAAATCTCCCTGCCTACTATCTCCAAGACTGGAATGCAAGTCTAACTTTAGAGCATTGAACAGCTCTAGTGTTGCTTAACTGTACTTTATAACTTTTGTTGATCAGAGAGATTTACATTAGAATGCAGCTGTAAACAGGACGGTTCTTTCACCCCTCTTGTTTGCCATTAGTTATAAACTGCTAACACAGCTCATTAGAGATGATATTAACATGAATAGAATTGAAATAAAGAAGAGCATAAATTATCCCTTTATGCAGATAATGTGCTGTTATATTTGACCAGCAACAACAATACCACATTCTCAATATGGATATTACTTAGGACACAAAATCAATGTGGAGGAAACAGAAGCTCTGGATATTAATGGCAGAATACATACCACAAAGTA